AAATTTGCTTTCAAAATGAGACTAAGGAGCTACGAGATAACTTAGCCTATAAAAAGTTTTGCTGTACATACCCGAGGACCTCATTCAATTCCTAGAAACCATGTAAAAGACTGGATGCAGTGAAATGCTTTTGTAATCCAAGCACTGCTATGGAGGTAAAAACAAGAAAATTGGCTTGAAACTTGAGCAATGAGAGAAAGAAGAGAGACTCTGGCTGCACAAGGTGGAAGGAAGGAGTCAGCCCCATAAAGTTGTTCCCTGACATCCGTGTGTGTGCTGTGGTAAGCCACTGACATCCCACATGCTCTTAAACAAAGATAAACAAGCAAATTAATAAAAATAAAAATAATAAAAAACAACCCAGTTGTCTCCCAGTAATGTCAGAAGCTACACCCATACAGTTTCACCAACAAGAATGCCTAAACATGAGCTGAACAAGGGAACCGAATAAAGACACACCAAAGTTCATGGGGGAAGACCACAAAATCTCAACCCTATACAAGAACTACAGGCAGCTAAGGGATACTAAGAAAGGGAAAAATATTCTTGCCCAGGAAAGAATACATAAGTGGTCATCCAATATCAAATATTCATCCATGAAAACATACATGCAAGTAACATTATACAGATAAAGTAGGTTACATTTAAAAATATATATGTGTGTAACAACATAAATGCATGTAGTATACATATATGCATGTAACAACAATGAATAAAAAAAGGTCATGAACTTGAAAGAGAGCAAGGAGGGGCTGATGAAAGGTTTGGGAGGGACGGAAAGGAAGGAAAAAATGATATCATTATATTAGAATCTCAAAAATAAAATAAAACCATTTTCTAATGGCATAAGAATCATCTCAAATGGTACCTTAGCCATTGGTTGTAAGAAAGAGAAAAAGACTCAACCTGGTCAACCACAGAAGAAAATCTTAAGCAAAGGTTGCATGAGGCTGGAACAATAACATGGAATACCATCAAGATTCAGGATTACCTCTTCCCCTCTTCAGTTTCTCTGTAGAAACCCTCCTCACCTCTGTACCTGAGTCATTACTGTTTCTCTGAAGAGCAGATTGTTCTGTGTGTCACCACAGAAGTCCAACACAGCCACTCCAAGACAACGTTTATATGATCTCCCAGGACACCCTCGAGTTGTAGAATTTCTGAGTCTTAAGTTAGTGGTTGGAAAAGAGGATACAAGTGGCCTATTTTTGAGAGAAGTGTCTAGAACTGATCTAATCAAATATGTGTGGGCATATATGTGTGCATATGTACATATGTATGTGTGTCCTTGTATGTGAGTGTGTGCCTATGTGTATATGTATGTATATATGTATGTACCCTGGTATGCACATGCCTGTGTATGTATATGTATGTATGTATGTTTGTATGCTCTTGTATGTGAATGTGTGTGCCTGTGTGTGCATAGGTGTGTGTGTGTGTGTGTGTGTGTGCATGTGTATTTGTGTTGACAAGGTTAACAAAGATGCCTGATCTGATCTAATACTCTTATAGTAGCGACTGTGAGAAGAAAAGAGTTCACAAGAAAGAGAAACATTGAGTAATAAGTTTGCTGTTTAAGCTCCTTTGACACAGTGATTTGACAAAAGTGGTTTCTTTCCATCTCTAGCTGAATTCCTCAACAAAGTGAAGAAAAAATAAATATGGAATGATTGACAGGAATTCTAAATGAGGTAACAAAGCATAAAACATATGCCACAAAATGCACATCTCTCTTCTCACTCTTGAATTACTTTCTTCGTGTGTGCGCGCTGGGATCTTAAATCAAGGGTGTCACAGGAAACCGCCCAGTCCTGTGCTTCCTTCTACAGGCATTCCCATAACCGACCAATATTTCAGGACACAATGAGTCCCTGATGAAGTGGGTTGTCCCTTGTGGATTTCATCTTGGTTGCCACTGGTATGATAAAAAGACCCAGGGTCCAAGTTCATCTTCCAGAAGTTCACATTTCTACCATTACTGTTTTGCTTATTATTAAAGGATTAAAATTACATTTGTATTTCCACATGTGTGAAGCCGTTTCTTACATTCCCACTTATAAGCAACAAGGAACAAGACTAGGGAGATGGAAGAGCTGATCCTAAAATGCAAAATACCTGGACTAGCACGTCTGCTGCCCTGGAGAAACCGTCTATGCCCATTCATTGATAATTGTCTTTACTTCCTTTTGAAGTTGTAAATAATTAAAAGAATTAAAGTTGTATTATTCGACCCTTGTACCGTGGTTTTTATCATTAAGAGGAAATTCTAAACATAAAGACAAAAGAAAAAACATTTGCATATTAGTAAGATTTATCAGTGGTATTTTTATAGGTTAAAGAGGTAATATTTTTGGTTACATTTAGGAAGAGATGGGAAAGACAGGTGTGACTATAACCCCACCGCACTTGAATTTTTCATGGGTTTCCTCGATGTTTTATAAATTTATGAAAACATTGGGGCTTCTTGGTCTCTGGATGAATATTAAAGAAAACTGTCAATATATTTGACAAATTAAAGTATACAGATTGGTAAAGTATAGCTGAAAAGGATCCTTCTGAGATACTATTTTTAATCTACACCAGCCATCTATTTAACTGTCACTAAGCAAATATTAGAGTTTGTACCAGAACAGAATGATAATGGAAAAGAAAATAGGAAGAGTCCAAGGAATGATGACTTTATTACAGTGATCACTTTAACCAGGGAAGACTTATTCGAGTGTTAACTACTGCGCTACACTTTCAGACATTTCCACATTTAATTTTCTCGAGAATCTTCCAATGTGAAGAAGATTGCCTTCCATCCAATAAGACAGTCAGACTTATAGGAGCTTATGTTTTTAAATACCAAGAATGCCAGAAGTTGAGCCAAGGTTTCAAGATTCAGAATTTTGAACAGCGTGGATCTTGAATCTAGAACAGCAGTGTTGGGGCACAGCAGCTGCAACTGAGAACCCAAACCAGTGGAAGAGTTTCCAGCAGGCAGTAATTGTGGTTAAATATTGTGTACCCATATTTCTGCTATGTGCTTGCTCAGTTTTTTACTTGCATGAATATAATTCCACTAGGGTGTCTATTTTTTTAATGACATGTCTTCAGAAAGAACTCTCTTTATATATTGGTCCACTGGTAAATCAAGGATATCCTTCAGAAGCTGAGCATTCATGTTTTCCAGCAGATATTTTTATTTTGTTTAAATGAATACACCCTTTCCTCTCAATTGTAAAAAAAAAAGTCTTTTTCTAGTTTCACTAAATTTTCTACTTGAGTTAGTTTTATATAGCTTAATTTTAAATGACTATGATCTAAAAAGGCAGAGAACTACTCTTAAAATCAGACCATTGCACTCTAGTTGAACTGCTGTTTTTCATTTAAATGTGCTTACCATGCATCTTATTGTTGATAGTCTTGTCTGTGTTGACATTTCAGTATTTATTCATTGATAATATGCTGCCAATTATAACTATTCTCATATGTGATAAACCAAATTTAGCTCTTGATAGTTAAAAAATATTTAACTATTATCATTAACACTTCTCAAAAATGATAGCCACATCCTTTCATTTTCCATTATTTTTTAGAATGTAGAAACTTAGGACAAATTATTAGGCTATTAAAGAACCAAACTAAAACTTGTGAGACTAAATCACAATGTAAAGCTATACAGTACCAAACTGAATTCTCATGCCTTTTGCTCATATTGAGTTGGGCTATATTGATAAATACAATTTCAGACTATTAAATTATCCCCTAAAGATAAATTATGGAGTTTCTTAATTACTACAAACAATATATCAAAATATTTTTCAAAAAGTTTGATTGTATATGTTATTCATTTCAATAGAGTCCAATATATTTTTTGAGAATTCTGATAAAGTAAAACCAACCCCACAATGTAATAAAAATGTAAGTAACTTTGAGAAATTATAATATTGAGGGATTGATAATTTACAGTATTTCCAATTTTTATTCCTATACAAACATATTCCTTGCTTTACTATCTTATTTGGATGTAGGAGTTTAGTTGGCAAATTTACCTACAAAATTGTTTTATAACAGAAAATTACATTTCTTTTTAACACTAATATTGGAAAATTTGACTAAATAGAGAATAGTAAGGCATCTTTTTCCACATAAGGATATTAATGAGATTAAAACATTTGAGTATAAATAAGAGAAAGTATAGAATTGTAGTGATAGAAGCAGACAGAAATTTGAATTATTACAACAGGCACCACATGCAGGCAGGATTCTCATGGGAGTTTCCTGTATCATCAAGTGTCTAGCTTAGCTCATATCATTGATTTAAACTTTTCCATCTTCTAATTTTAATGGTTCTGCTTTCCCATGGGCTGCCGTAATTTATCCCAGTTTCTTAAAATAAGCAAAATTTAAAGTAGAAACACTATTGCTGAATTTTATTGTCTTTTTCCATTTGCTAACAACACCCCTACTTGTAGCGATAACAGTATCTTCTGCTCGTATTCCAATAAAAATGCTTTTTACATGTTCACCATTTGTTACTGAAGCCATTTTTACATTTATGAAAAATGTGTAAGGCATTTTTTTCTGCTCCAGGGTAAAATTTAAGAAGCTGAATTTTGTCGAATTTATGAGACAAGAGCTATATTCAAATCAAATCTGCTAAAGGTTTGTATCATGAGATACTTGAAGCCTAATTTTATTTTTCTTCTTAGATCAGCCTGGAGCAATCCTTCTCCAAATATGTCTCTAAAATAAACACAGCTACAGTAGCTCGTGCTTTCTAATATGCTCGCTCCTTCAGAGATTTACTGAGAAAAGAGAAAAAAAATCTTAAATAAGCCCCAGCCGGGAACCATGTGCCAACACACACAGTGACTTCTTTCTTTAAAGATACAGAAAGTAAGAATAAGAACCAAGTCCATTTATCTGGAAGTGTTATGCAGAAAAAGCCATTCTAGTCATTTCCACCTTGGAAAAAGGTGACTTCCCATTTCATATCGCCCCAGTTTACCTACCAAATGTCATGTAGAGATTTTGTCAGCATTGCCAAGAGCGTGCTGTGACACGATTCCAGATGGAAGTTGGCACTGTTTTCTGGGACAGTTGGATTTAGTCCATTTTCAGGAGTTGTCTAGTGAATCCTTATAATCCTATGGTGTTAAAAATAGCAATTTTCAGAGACAGTGAAGTGAGGTAAATAGTGGTTATTACCGAAAAATAACCAAAAAGATGACAAATCTTTTCATTCTTTTCCCTCTACACCCTATTCCTTATAATCCCACTAATCCAAAAATGTTCTCAAATTGGTAAACAATATTTGGATGGAGCTTCTGGTTTTCCACAAATACTCACTGAGCCTCTGAGCTTAAGTGTTGAACACAACATGCCAATGACAAGAGGAATTTAAAGTTTGGTGGAAAACTTAATAAGTAATACTTTCATGACAACAGAATATGTATGTCTGGAGAGAGGAAATGTATTTAGCCTCTTCTACCTTGTCCTTTATCTATACTGTAGAGTTGGTGAATGAGGCAATTGAGCAAGTTGATGTTACAGAATCCTCAACAACTAGTATCTAATATTTAAAATATTGTCATTGAGCTCAGTGTAACTGTGCATAATTGTGACCTCAGCATCTGAGAAGCCAGGGAGGGAGAACTGAGACTTTGATGCTAGCCTGGACTACATACTTAACATCTTGCCTCAAAAAGCATCTAAAATATAAAACAGAAACAAAATATTGCCAAACAGAATGAGGAATGCTTGCTACTCATAATTCTTGTCATAATTAACAAGTGTCACCATGACAATTTGACATTTCAAGAAACTAGGGCTTAGCAAACACATTGCTCTATTCACTAAATTTCTATAGCTACAAGCTCTGTAGAAGACTAGTATGTTGACAAGCCATTGCTACTACTCAAAATTTAAAGGTGCTGTACACATTTGGAATGATATGCAGAGTTGGTAATGAGTTAATATAAACTAGTTAATAAATGGAAGTCTACAATCTTGAGTTCACCAAATATACAGCATTAGAATCTGTTGACATGTTTAAGACCAACTCCACCTAAAAGATTTGAGGAACAAATACAACTCAAAGTGACACCCATGATACTATTTGCTACTAGTTTTTCAAGGATGACTCCCTATTTGAGTTTGTTTGATGCTTTTTCATGATTAAATTGTATGCTGACACCTAGAGAGTCTGGAAGACAGTGTCAGATCACAAGGAGCTGGAGTTATAGACAGTTGTGAACCACCATGTGAGTTCTGGGATTCAATCCCCTGTCCTCTGGATGAGCAAATCTCAAAATATTGCCATTACTAAAAATTTATGTAAACCGAAGTACTTCTCATAGTATCTCCTCTTCTTTGATGGACAATTGTTCTAGTCCACAAATCAGAATCCCAGAGAACATAGACAACAATGAGGACCCTGAGAGTGACATACATAGATCTCATCTACTTGGGTAGTAGAAAAAGACAAGATCTCTTGAGTAAACTAGGAGCAAAGGAAACCTTGGGAGAGGGTTGAGACAGAGAAGGGAGCAGAGAAAAGTGTAAAGCTCAATAAAAATCAATGAAAATAGAAAATAGGAACTCAAAAAAGATTCAAAATATTAACATATTCCAGAAATACAAAGAACAAAAGGAAACTACAATATTATAGCAGCAAACTAATTTATAGTGAAATGGTAACAAGATGAATTAAGTTGTAGCATTTAAAACACATTTATGTTGTTCCTTATATTTTTATGATAAAGATTATTAAGTAAAAATTATGTTGCAGGAAAGCGTCTAAAAGTAGAGAACATGTTGTTTCCTCAGGGGAGTAGGTGGTGAAGTATCATGGTGTTAATGAATTGAACTTAGAAGGTGCACACGCTTTCTGGAAACACTCTGCCAAGACATTGGCCTTTTATCTAAATGAATCTATGGGGTTGACTAAGTACTGCTCTATTATGTGTAAAATGGCATATGATTTATGAACTGAACGACGAGACTTTATGCTCAGTGTGGCTATTTGGCTTTTAAGCTAATCTTAGGCAAAAGTATGATTAGTGAAAGAAAAGGATAGCCAATAAAGTAAGCGGTTTGTGATTAGTGGCCATGGTGGACCGCTCACAATTATAGCTCTTAGAGAATGATTTAGTCACTTGTAGGTATAATGCATGCTACTATCATGCCATTAAAAAGAGGGGCTGCTGCAAAAGGAAAATTACATCTGTAACAGAATAATACATAATTATTAGCATATGTAGAGACACATATTTAATGCTTACTGAAATAGTACTTTTATGAACATTTATCAAGTTATGAAGTTATGGTTTTATTCTGCAAAGTAGAGTCTAGAGTTTCTCCAGGGACCACCAGGTCATAGGGCTAATACCAAGGGACTCTTGGATATTTAGTATTCAACATGGATATTTATGAATATATATTTTTACACAAGGACTGTTAGATTTACACAGATGTATGAATGTCTCTGAATAGAATATGCACTATGGGGAAATTAAACAAAAACTGTTAGAAAAAGAAGACTCAAGTATGGTTATAAATCTCAGAGAAGAAGCAGCTCCAATTTATAAGCCATGTGGGGGAGGTTTCTGGGTGTATTCTTTCTGGACGTTCTTTCCTCCTTACCCTTACAACTGTGGCACAGAGGGCTGATCACTAGTATGAACTTTACTGGAAAAAAGACTGACATGACCTCACTGGAAACCATTCCTAGAGACTCTCCTTTATTTCTGAAGTAATGATATGACATCTATGGCATGTGCATTTAAATCTACACACAATGTAAATGGCAGAAAACATGAAAAAGTTAAAATTGTCCAAAATGTTACAGTTTGGCCAAAAAAGGGAGTTGGGCTTTTCTGTTTAAATGGTAGTATTAAATTATACATAATCCTTTAAAAATGTAATAAAAACAACATACCATATATTCTTCTAACAATTCCATGCCCATTTGACTTTTGGAAATTTAAGCCCTAAGGGAAGTTCCTTCCAAACATTATGTGTCAAATCTATTGATATGAAATGAAGATCAAGTAGTAATTGTTCTCTTAAGTGCAAAATGGATTGTGATTTTAAATAAATACAGATTGTGGTTATTATCTACTAATTAAAACTTATATCATGACTATAAAATCATGGTAAATCTGTATATGACATTTTAGTGAGACCAGTTTACTCTGATAGATAATTGTTCTGGCAAATATATTTGCTGCACTACATGAGGGACTTTAATTCACTGTGACTAAAAAGAACATATCAATGAATAGATTCTAGATACATAATTTGAGGAGGAGGCTGAGTACTACAAAATCAATTAACAAAATCAATACAAAATCAGTATTGTTCTTTGTACTATTAAATAATGATATTAAATAATGAATGTTGAATGGATGCCATAAAGACTATTAAGTTTAAAAAAGTTGTTTTAGTCTTACATAATGTTTGGAGATAGCAAATTGATTAAATAGACCATAAAACAGGTGGATTCTAAAACTCTTTGGATCCAGTTTGATAACTAATATGTAAGGTTAGCCCATTTCAAAGAATGTGAACACATTCAATGTTATTCTTGTCTGATCCTACTTCATTCTAGTTCGTTTTCATCTGAATACTTGAAACAATCTAGAGATAAAAAGCAAAATCAATACAGCTTTCTCTAAAAGGAATAATGCAGATTGCAATCATTGGTCACTTTTCATGATGTTGATACAACCAAGTAAGCTAGTGTCTCACATCATGATGACACACTGACTCATACTGTGGGTAGTATTATAATTCAGTATTTATATGCTTATATATTTTATTCATATTTATCACCATATGGGCCAGTGTATAGTCAGGTAAAGTCAGTGTGCTAACATAACTAAACGAAAACTCATTTTCAAATAGTGAGATAGTAGGATCCAAATTTTTGAGAATATTGAAGGAAGGCCATGTCTGTACCTTAAGGATTACAATCTTATCTGTAGAACAACAAATTTTCACTTTGTAGTTTAGCACATTAATAGAATATTTTGGGATATAGAAATTATTGTTATTGCTGTGATTTTTTTCTGAGCGTGCCTAAGTAAAACAAATTTAATAGATATGCTAAATACTATAGACTATAACAATCTATTCCTTACTTAAAGGAATATTATTTGTAAAAAAATTTCCCTTGAATATGTATTACTCATAATTTACCAATTATTATGTTATGCATAGTAAGAGGTTATGTTATTATATTTTCATGCACACATAGCATTTGTTCATATTCATTTCCCAACTACTATTTCTTGTCTCTACTACTGATTCCTTTCTAGGCATAGTGTACTTTTATGTTTCCACGACATATATAAGATGACATGTATATCTATATGTAGATATAAATCTCTATTCTAAATATTAAAGAAAACCTACTATCCTCTGTTGTTCTCTCTTTCGAACCTTTCCATCCTTGCTATAGTCTTTCTACTTCTCTCTCTCTCTCTCTCTCTCTCTCTCTCTCTCTCTCTCTCTCTCTCACACACACACACACACACACACACATACACAAACACTCACACACACATATACACTGTATATATCGCAGGTATTTCAACTTGAATATGTCATCTAGCAAAGCATCACTATAATCTCAACATAAATAACCCAGCTTTGGTACTCTTAGTAGTAAGAATTTGGGCATATTGTTTTATTTAGTGTCTGCAATAAGAAAATACAATGTTCATAAGAATATTTGAAGTATGAGCTATCATCCTATTGCAGTAGAAACTCTGGAAAGGACGTTTTAGGAAAAGACTTGCAAATGACAGGTCTAAGACACAAATGGGCATGGCATCTTTATGTAATTAATTGGGTAAGAATGGCTGGTGTCTAGTGAAAAGAGGTAAAATAGGAAGTAAGAGAAATGCACGCACGTAACAATAGGCAAAGTCCCATATGACCACATTAAACTTTTGGAGCATAGTTTTATCGTTACAAAAGAGTATTTGTTAAAAACTTCAAGAAAAGAACATCTGGGATCTGGTGTTGTATATCACACTGATTTTACACAGCCAGAATGAAACTAAGTTTGTTGGATGTCTGTTACTCAGGCAAAAGACAGTGATGGCATAAATGAAGGCCAGAGCATTTAAAAAGACAACCTGAGGGAATATTTGGGATGGGAAATGTAGAATTTTGCTGACAAAATAAATATGGGGTAAACATCAAAGAAAGGAATTAAGCATATTTCCTCTGGCCAACTATCATTTAGCTTCTGCAAGCAAGTGATCAATCAACTATGATGAGGAATACCACGGTGGGTGAGGGAGGAGATATTAAATAGTTCTGGTTGGGATATACACCAGTGAGTATGTATTAGCTACTATTCTAAGTAAATACATCAACGAATACCACTGGGTATTGGGAAATTCATGAATCTAAGAGGCATCAGAATGTAATAGCACATTTAGGAGTTGTCTTGACACTAAGATGGGAGGAGTTCTGGAGAGGCACTGTCTACATGGGAAAGCCAATGGCAGCGAAGGTGGTTCAAATAAAAATGACCCCATTGGCTCATATATTTGAATTCTTAGTCCTCTTGGAGTGGTACTACTTGAGAAGGACCAGGAGGTCTGGCCTTGTTGGGTAGTTGTGGACTGTTGGAGGAAGTGTGTCGCTGCAACTTCGCTTTGAGGTTTCAACAGTCCAAGCCATGCCAAGGGGCTCGCTCTTCCTTCTGCCTGTGAACCTGGATGTAGAACTCTCAGCTACTTCCAGGGCCATGCCTGATTATGTGCTATGATGTTCTCTATCAATGATGATAATGAACTAAACCACTGGAACAGTAAATACGTCATGGTCATAAGAGTTGTCATGGTCATGGTGTCCTTCACAGGAACAGAATACGAACACACCTGCATTATCTCATGACAGGGATTGGTTTGAAATCTATTTTGCAGACATTAGAATAGGAACATCTGTTTGTTTCCTGGTTCTATTTGTTTTCTGTTCATGTTTTGCATCTTTTTTAGCCTAGTAAAGTGTTATATTTAGTGATAAATTGATTTACTCTGCTAGTCTGTATTTTTTTAATGTGTGAAATGAAACACTGAATTTTAGAGTTTCTATTGAAAGGCGTGTATTGTTCCCTGTTGTTTTGTTAATATTTTTGTGTTTGAGATTTTTTTTACACTTCTATCTAATAAATGTTGCAGTATTAATTTTTCCTCCTGTAATCTCTTTATTATGCTTATCTTTTTTTTTTCAGACCGAAGTATTCCTTCCAATATCCTATGCTGGGCTATTTTAGGAGCTAATAATTCCTTTAGCTTGCTTTTATCATAAAAAGTTTTCATTTCACCGTAACTTATGGCAGATATTTGCTCGGTATATTAGAGTGAGTTTGCAATTATATCCATCGAAGTCTAAAAGATACCAGCCCTTCTTGAGTTTGAAGTGACAAGCCAGCAGTTATTCTGACTCGTTGCCTTTTTATGTGACTATGGTCTACTCTTTTGCGTTTCTCAATATACCCTTTGTTCTGTATATTTAGGGTTTTTAAATATGATATGTAATGAGGAGTGTTTTTTTTTCCTGGTCTTGTTTATGTGTTTTGTATGCCTCTTGTATTCAGATAGGATTCCTTTCCATATATTTGAGAAAATATCTTCTGTGACATCATTAAAATATTTTTATATCATTTGAATGAAATACTTATTCTTGTATATTTAGACTATGTAGGTTTAGTCATAGTTTTTGCCATATTCTGTTCATACATTCAAAAATTTTCATCTATCTTAACTGGATCATCCAAAACTTCTCTTTCGTCTTCATAGCTTCATGTATGACATATTCAATAACATCCATTCAATTAGTGAGGTTTTCCACTGAACTTTTTATTTGACCTACTTTATTTTCCATTTTCATCATCATTTTGGTTTCATTTCTAGGATTTTTATCTCTTTATTAAATTAAATTTTGACAATAAAAATTGACTCCCTCATTTCATTTTGCTATCTGTGTTCTCTTATGTAATATTTAAGACCTTTGCAAGCTGTTTTTACCATAATTAAAAGTCCTTTACGTTCTGCATCTGAACTTTTATGGAAGACATTTTAACTGGGCGTCATTTCAGTGAGGGTAGTAATTTTTGGAGACATCAAGTTGTCATGTTACTTATGTTTATGTCCTGGGATATGACTATCTTGAGTTAGAATGTTGGTTATGACTTGTTATTTTAATTCAAATTTCCTCTCTTCTTTCAGTGGACATATTTACAAAATTAATAGGAATTTAATGTTTAGCTGTGCTGCTATTTTTGGCTGTTAGTTTGGTGCTCCATGTACCAGGCTTTATCTCTCGACTGTACCTGTTGAGTATTGCCTGGTGATAATAGAGTAGAACATGACTAAAAAAAAAATGGTTATCAAACAGCAGTTAGTTCAGGGAGTAGAGGGGCAGATGATACTGTGTGTACTGATAAGTTAGTGTGGATAAAGGAGACAGTGAGCAATCCCGATGAGACTAGTTCCAAGTTCGATGTTAAATGGAAGTAGAGGAGAGGGGCATAATTAAGTGTGGTAATAATTGAGTCCATGGAAAAATCAAGGGTGGGGACGGTGGGATACTTGGTTAATGGCAGACTAAAAGCGGAAGTAATTATATGTGTTCAAATACTATAAAGTAGGTCTGCCTTTGAGTTTCGGGAGATGGAACAGCAACAGGAATAGGCATGAGAAAAGAGAAAAGAAGGGAAAGAGGAGAGAGGGAGAGAAAGAGGGGGTAGGGAGATGGAGGAGAGTACAAGCCTGGGCAGGAAAGCAAGAAGGAGAGGAAGAAACTGTAGGAGACAGTGTTCTATATAACATTATTTTAGAGCATTAGTATGAATTTAACTGAAACTTTTTACTATCTTTTGGAATGAAATCTTTTTTGTTTTAAGGCTTCTTAGTCTGAGGAGGAACTCCTTCAGAATCTAATCCATGTTTATAAGTTTCCTAGTCTTTTCTATCTTTTCATGGCTCTTTGGTGGCAGGAGGCATTGAGTCACCCATCATCTTAAAATTTCCCAAGGGCTGGTAATAGGGAGCTGTTTATCACAGATGTACATTTTTGTTTATAGGCGGAATACCTGTGTGAACACTTGCATGGAGATTTTAGTCAACAATAGTTTCATATCATATAGTTAATATTTTGGTGAAAGTTGTTACTTGTTCTCTACTTACCAACATGGTAACAACTAGAGGTGATGGATGAATTAATAAATTTGTGGTAATCATCCCAAATCATTAATATGTACACTGTAAATAAATAGTTTTGTCAATCATATCTCAATAAGGCTGGGAGAACAACACCAAAAAAACCCACCCCCACCCCAACTCTATGGTCTTTTCCTCACTAACCTCCAACTACAGCAGATTTGCAATGTATTTTTATCCCCCCCCCCAACCTTACATATCTTCTTTCTACAGTGTAATATCCTCATTGCTTGAAATACTAAATGCTTGGCTGGGGACCCTCGCATTTCTTGCTCGCAACACAGCCATTTCATCTTTGCTACAGGAGAAATGGTCTAACGTTTCATGAAAGCAAACTTTCGGTGTGAGCAAACTTTCGGTGTGAACAGAGGCAACGTTTAGGCGCCCAGGGATCTTTATTCCTCTCTCTCTCTCTCTCTCTCTCTCTCTCTCTCTCTCTCTCTCTCTCTCTCTCTCTCTCTCTCCCTCTCTCTCCCTCCCTCCCTCTCTCTCCCTCCCTCCCTCCCTCTCTCTCTCTCTCTCTCTGTTTCTCTGTAGCTTTTTGGTTCCTGACCTGGCACTAGCTCTTGTATACCAGGCTGGTCTCGAACTCACAGAGATCCGCCTGCCTCTGCCTCCCGAGTGCTGGGATTAAAGGCGTGCGCCACCACCGCCCGGCCTTTATCCCTCTCTTTATTCATTCTTTATAAGTAGATACACCTTGGGTGCTCTTATGGAAATTTTAATCTAGACTTGTGACTGTTAGGATAAAGAAAATAAATACTGTGGATGAAGGCATGAAGTTGGGTCTTATGAACATAGAATTCCTTGGCACCGAGGGCAGAAAATGCAAATGGAGACTACCACATTATCCTTCAAATCGTTCGTAAAACTCTGCTGTTGTTCTGTTTGGTTGAATATTACACCCCATAGAAAGCCAATGCCGTTATGTATGGAGGAAAGTTGGGAGTGGGGCAAATAGTTGACTAGAACGTTGTTTCAGAAGTCTCTGAAGAAGAGAACAAGTACATCTATGTAAAGGAAAATGAAAGGGAAGAGCGACTACTAAAGACGTCACATTTGTTAATATCTCAGGAGAAAAAAAAAAAAAGAAAAAAGAAATTTACCTCAGGCCAAGCCAGCTCCGCAGCCCGGCATCCTTTTCTGCACCTCGTGCACCTCCCCCAGGTCCTGCCCTCCGGCCCCGCCCTGCCCTCCGGCCCCGCCCCTCCGGCCTTGTCACTCTCGTTCCTCTGGCTCCTCCCCTCTCGCCTTGAGTGCTGTGCGAATGCACAGTGGATCCCGCCCCCTCTCCTCCGTCCACCAATGGGACGTGGTTTCGTCATTTGCCACCGCCCGGCCGCGGGTGACGATTACGTTTCCCCGCCCTCTCCGCCGCCGCCACCGGGTCCTAGGAAGATGGCGAAGGTCACAGAGCGTTACGACGTGACTTGGGAAGGTAATTTCGGGCGGGGAGGGCTCTGGAAGCCCCGAAGCCCCGGGACGTGGTTCCGATGTGCCCGGTGTCCCGGAGAGATTCGTCCTGCGCTGTGTCCTCCGCAGGACAGCTGTCCCTGAACGGGCCAACTCGAGTGGACACTGAGGCGGGTTCCTTCCCGGGCCCCGGCGGCGTACCTGTCGCCTTGGCCGGTCCCTGCACCTATCCTCCCTCTGCCTCCCTCCGCCGTCAGTCCTGTCCTCTGCCTAGGAAGCAGGAGGGACCCGGGGCTGCGACTGTCACACTTCCTGTGGCTTCTGGGAGGCGTGGAGGAGGCGGAATCCATGTAGTAAAGCTTGTCTGAAGCCAAGAAATAAATAGGTTCAGTGAGGCCCGTGCTAATTATTTAGAACGGTTATAGTGTGTAAAAAGGTGTGTGGAACAGCCATAAACAATTACGATTCTTCCACATGCACACACACACACACATATATGTTACTTTTTTTCAGAACCGGGTCGTGAACCTACGCAGAGCACACACAACATAGCTTGCTACTTATTCTCTGCCAATACTGCATTTTTCTGAAGGGAAATGTAACTGGTTAATTTGGCGGCATGTGTTCATAGGTGATGGGCTTTTCCTGTCAGGTTCACCAAGAGTGGAGATCTTCAATAAATCTTCAAATAAAACATTCAAATCTTGGATCAGCTCCGTAAGGACTGGTACCTCTCTCAGAAACGTTGGTGGGAGTCATTCTTAAGAGAATAAATGAGGTTTTTTTTTTAAGCGTGGAATTTGTGTTCGTGGACAGTGCGTATTCCAGCAGTTAGCATGGTGCAGGGCACTTCTGTAGGTAATTTGCCCACTGAATGGCTTCGTGGGATCTTTAACATATAGAGTGAAATTTACACTTGTTTGATTAGGAATAAATCTCAAGTATTATACAAGGCAAAAGTTTATTATACAGCCCCAGTGCTCAAAGAGTTTACAATTTAATGGAGCAGCCTACCTATCAATTCATTTTTTTTTTCGAGATAGGGTTAAGGCGTGCATTCATTTCTATTTATTTATTTATTTATTTTTGTTTTTTGAGACAGGGTTTCACTGTAATTTTAGAGCCTGTCCTGGAACTAGCTCTTGTGGACCAGACTGGCCTTGAACTCACAGGGATCCGCCTGCCTCTGCTTTTGGGCGCAGGGATGAAAGGCGTGCGCCACCAATTCATTTTTAAAAGATTTGTGTCCAACTGTACCTTTAGCGGTACAGTAGATATGTGAGGGGATGTTCTTTTCAATGCTTTTAAAAATGTTTTAAATATTTCATGATTTTTCTAAAGTGGCGTTATGAAGGTATTATGTGACGTATAGCTTTTAAAAACTGTTAGCATGAGAACCATCAAAGGAAAAGTAGGTTTGCCACTACCAGCAAGCAAAATGACTACATAGCACGGCTGCAGTCCTGTGGGCGTCCTAAAGTGTTGTGCCATAACTAGATTTGGAATAGTTAGTGCTTTGCAGATTTGTTGAGTAGCAAAAGAAGAACTCATTTTAAAGTGGCCAGTAAGCTCCTAACAGGAGGAAAACAGTTGAGCTATGGGTTGATCGTATAAAGTCACACTGCTGGAGGATCTGGTGGCATCCAGCCTGTCCCACTTGTGTGGCCTGACTCTGCTTGTCTTTTCTAAGTTGCCTGATTCGCCGTGGTCTTGTGTTAGGGGTAAGCACATGCAATTCCCTTCACTAAGTGTTCTTCCCTCACAGTCTCACTCCTAAAGTTACTTCCTACATCACAGGACCCTGTCTACTGATGTTACTGTTTTTTCTTTTTTTCCTTTATCCCCTAAGAAACCACATTTTGAGATTTTATGGATGTGGTTTCTGTGCCATATCTAGAAAATACAGCCGACTTCCTGGCCCCTGACTCTCAGTCTTTCCACTCCCTCCACTTTTCTGGAATGTTCTCTGAGCCGTAGATTGAAGGACTGTTTTGTAGACAGTGTCTACTGATGTGACAGGTGCTTTCTGTGCCTTCCTTTTCCTTTAAGGTGCTAGGAAGACCTTGTGCCCATCAAATATTTTTATGTTATCTATCTATGTTATATTATTACAGATCACTCTTATTTTTCTGTATATGTGTGCATGTGTGGTATTGGTATGCCTGAAGATGCCACAAGTTTCTGCCAGGTATTTTTTCTATGATTTCGTCTCGGATTTTCAAGACAGCTTCTCCCACTCCACCTTGAACTCACACATTAGCTAGACTGATTGGCCAATTGACTCCCAGTATCTATCTACCTGATTCTGTATCCCATTACTGAGATTAAGGGAGGGTGTAGCAATGTCCACTTTTTTGCAAGGGTTCTAGGGATCGGACTAAGGTCTGTATTCTTCCATAGCAAGTACTTTCCCAGCTGAGTCATCTCTCTGCAGTCCTTTGCCTCTGTTTCTTAGTAGCACTCTTCTAGGTTCATGTCACACTTTTCATACCGTCCTTTTGGTGGGTTCTCTATATCTGTTTGCTTTCAAATGCTAGAACACACTAGATTGATTGCACACTTCACTAGTGCATTGCAGTATATAATTGGAAGAAGACTTCTGCTGAAGTTTCAATACATTGAAATAAATTCTTCTCTTCCTTCAGATTTAGTACCCACGCTGTCCCTTAGGCCCTATGGCCATTTTCATCGTCCTATGACTGACTTTGTGGGACTGAGTAATTTTTAAAGGGTATATGCTGATTCATGTAAGTGAATGTGTAATTGGTGTTCCAGAATTCACACCGGCATGAAGGAAGTGCAGGGGTAAAGGAAGGAGTTCTGTACAGAAGACACAGTAGCAGGCAGGCTGGTTCCTCATTTTTCAAGGCCCAGGTGTCTTAGCACAATGAGAACTGGTCCTTAGGGAGAGATACCAGGCTAGCCCCTTTGGATCTTCTCTTATCGATATTAATTACCCTTAGTGCACAGACAGTAGTTCCTAGCATGAACATGAACATGGTGAGTAGCTTACATATATAGTATAGAATAAAATGCCATCTTTGGGGGACAGCCCAAAATGAAAAGTATATTTAAGGAAGGATTACTCCCAAAATTTGTTTCTAGCCATAAGTTTTCCCTTTTTTTACTTATAGCAAAGGTAACTAAATATTTTGTGGTAGTTTACACTTAGCAGAATGTTTATGTAAAGTACTTACTATTAGGAGCCCTAAACTCAGACCACATAAATGGGGGCAATGTATGTATGAAGTTGGATGAAAGACTATAGTAATGCCTGCGGAATTCACAAGTTCATGACCTCTTCACAGTAATCAAAATCAGCTTAAAAGCAAAACAAAAGCCCAAACGCTAGCACTGTCCAAACATGTGGCCTCTCTGCTTTGCTTTAAGTTGGGTGAGAGACTATAAAGCTTGTAATCCTGTGATTTAATAACCTAAGTGGAAGAAGTGTTAAATGATAAGTCCCAAGTCACCATTTCTAGGTTGATGAGGCAGAGCTGACTTAAGTCCTAGTCCGTCTGACTAGATCCCTTGCTCTTTCTGCTTCTTAGTGCCTGTTGCCAGGTGTCAGCATGTTTTTATCCAGTGCAGAAGCAGATAGTAAATAGCAGCTTTGTGTATTCTTTGGCTCATATTGCCTGTTCCTATAACATTACAGCTCAGAAAAAAAAAAAAGCCATAGGTTGAAATAAAACTTTGCTTACAAAACTATTGGCTGCAAATTTGGCCATGAGGTGGTAGTTTCTTGACTCAACTTTAAATTTTCTGACAAAATGCAAAATAAAGAGGAAGCCAGAGATGCTGTAATTAGAATGAGATAATAGTGTTTGCAGCTATAAATGAATATTGAATAGCTTAGGGAGAAGCTTTGAGATTTGTTGATTCAGGGAACATAAGAAAATTAGCATTATGTATAAAAAACTGAACAAATGTTAACAGCTGAAACTAGTAACAGCCATTTTTAAAAAAAAACATGTTATGCCAGATCCTGTTCAGTATATAAAATTAATTAATAATGTTCATTACAGTAGCCAAATTATGCAAGTATTATTTTTATCTTCACTTAGTAGATAGGAACATTGAAGTGCAGCGACTAACTCAGGTAATATCCGACAAGTAGAAAGTGTCAGTGTTGAGATTTGAAGCCTGGCAGTTTGAGTGCTGCCTTTCCACTCAGATCTCTGGATACAGATTAAAATAGAAATCAGTGTGCACTCAGTTGGTAGTTAATCAACCTTAATTATGTGGCTTAGTTCAGGCCAATACAACAATATAACATATACACCAGGGTGGATGTCTGTGGACTCTAAATCGTTTCTGTGCATTTCTGGAGGTTAAAAACAGAGATCTAGGTCCCGGCAGATCCAGTGTTCAGTGAGGATTGGACAGCTAATGGCAGGAAGCAGAGGAAAGACAGCCTCTTCTCTCTTGTTGTGAGGGCAGTTTACCTCCTAAAGGCCCATCACCACTTTGAGTCTTGGGATTTAAAAAAAAAAAAAATGGAAAGTGTTATAAACATTTAGCCTTCGCTATTATATTAAATTTCTTCTGGAAAATTTTGGTTTTGTTTATTGTAGTCAGTTCTTAGCACTCCAGACTGGGCTTTTATTTTTATTTATTTTTAATGAGATTTTTGTTTTAAACAAAAACAGATTTGTATTTTTTTTCTTTTGACTCATGGCCCTGAAAGGCATTTTGATTCTCAGCTACTGGGGGAAGACTAAAATTTTGTGAATAGAGAAGACTTAAGGGACTGATTTCCTTTTTAAAAAAAAAATTCAGGAAGCTCTTCTGTCATAAATAGCCCCCTATGATAACTAACAGCCCTGTCAACTTATTTCTTTGGTACTGATTTTGATCTGTTCATTAGGAAAGAGCCCTAAAGTCTAAAGCCCACTTAAAGGTGCCAACCCAATCTTACTTATTCTAATCAGATTTCCAGCCTGGGAACTCTGGGAGAGACATTTAAACCACAGCAGAGTTCTTGATTCTAGAATCTCCTGTTGTGATTTGCACAGTTGTTCTCCTGTTTTATGTTCATTATATTGATTTATATCAGTTTATGTTGATCTTACTGCTGCTCTTCATATTATTTACTAATTCAATCAAAGATTTCCTTAGTTGTGTTATTTTCTTATTTACTTCCTGCATGGCAGGGTACTATTAAGGAACCTTGATGTGAATATCCCTTTGTTGCTGATAGCCCAATATGGTAGTCTTGAAAAATTTTTATATCCATGAGTAAATTGCAAAAATATGTTGAATACTTTGTGATGTCTATATATGATTGTACGCTCTTTTTTTTAAAAAAAAAAAAACAATACTCTGACTTTTATAAAACTCTGAAGGTAATCTATATTTCTCCTCACTCCTCCAGTTTAGACCTACAGCTGCCTAAAGTGATACAGGGCCTTTGTAGAAGACCCATAGCATGGTGTTCATTATGGTTAAAGATGATTGCAGTATCACAGATTTGCCTATAAGTTAGAGTTCATTTCCTTATGTAAATAGTTGATTTCATTTAGTCAATGTTTTGAAACCTTATATATGTATGCATGTGTGTGTTCATATATGTATATGTGTTAAGAACATAAATATATTTTTTCAGAAATGCGAGATAAAATGAGAAAATGGAGAGAAGAAAACTCAAGAAATAGTGAACAAATCATGGAAGTTGGAGAAGAATTAATTAATGATTATGCTTCTAAGCTTGGGGATGACAGTAAGTTTTCAATTATTATGTGTAGGCGAGCATGTTTTATTTGTGATTCTTCCTAGTTAATGTGTTTTATTAATATTTTACCCATTATTAGTTCTATCACTCCTTTGTTTCAGGAAATGTAATGAATGGTGCTTTAGTTTAAGTATGATTTATATTGTTAATAGTAGTTGCTCAGTTACTTGTCTATTTCTGTGATATAGCAACATGACTGTGACAACTAAGAGTCTGTGGTATATAGCATCTTGTTGGAAGAATGACCTCAGGTGAGAAAATGGCTCCACCAGATTGGCCTGTGGGCCAGCCCTTGGTGCATTTTCTTGATGGATGCTGTGTATTGGAGGGCCCAGTTCACTGTGGACAATTTGTAAAGGAAGGCAGTCTGAGCAAGCCACAAGGAGCAAGCCAATAAGTAGCACTCCTCTATTGCCTCTTCAGTGATTCTGGCTCCATGTTCTTAGGTTGAGTTCTTGCCCTGACTTTCTTGGATGATAGATTTCAAGCCATAAGGGGAAATAAACCTTTTTTTTTTCCACCCCAAATTAATTGCTTTTGGTGATGGTGTCTTATTACAGCAACAGAATACTTAAGACAGTGTTTTTGGAGTTATGGTTCCAGGAGGTTAGAGTCCATAATGGTGGAGGGAGCAGGAAGCTGAAGACTGTCTTCTTGAACGACAGTCATGAAGCAGAGGCTTTGAAAGTTCAAGTCCTGCCCCCAGAGATGGATTTCTCCAGCAAGGCCACATCTCTTGGCCCTCCCTAAACAAATGGGAATCAAGTCCTCAAGTGCACCAGAGACAGTGGAGGACAGTCTTGTTTAAACTACCACAGTAGTGAAGCCATTGGACAGGCATTTAGGTTTCAGAGGCTCACAAAGCTGGTAAATGTTTAGCTAGTGTATATTCCTAATGGTATTCTGGTCTGGTCAAAATGTTTTTCATGGAGAATTTTAAAATTTAGTATGTGTTAAATATTGATTTTTTTTTTACTTCAGAAGGTTTTTTTTTTAAATATTTATTTATTTATTTATTTATTTATTTATTTATTTATTTATTTATTATGTATACAATATTCTGTCTATATGTATGTCTGCAGGCCAGAAGAAGGCACCAGACCTCATTACAGATGGTTGTGAGCCACCATGTGGTTGCCGGGAATCGAACTCAGGACCTTTGGAAGAGCAGGCAATGCTCTTAACCACTGAGCCATCTCTCCAGCCCCTTCAGAAGGTTTTATATTGCTGAATACCTATAAAGATGTATTATTAAGTTTAAAAATATTATAATTACTAATTTTCAGTAATAAGTAACATTCTTTAAAATAGTTGAAAGAATGTATTCATTTCTGTTTGGGAAATTTCTATATTAAATTCAGTTTTTTTCCCATCTCTTATTTCTAGTTTGGATCATATATGAGCAGGTGATGATTGCAGCCCTAGATTATGGTCGGGATGACTTGGCATTGGTAAGTATTTAAACTAGTTTATATTTTACCCTATATTTAATTCACTTTACAAGTTATATATTAGTAAATGGTTAAGGCTTACTGTTGGGCATGTTTTGAATGCTTTCCATAACAAGTTTTGAATGCTGCTTTGACAGGGCTGGGGTTGTAACTCAGTGGTAGGATGTGTGGCTAGCATGTAGAAGGTTCTGGGCTTGCTCTCTAGCATCATGCATATAAAAGAAAATGACAGAACACTCTACCAGTAAACAGTAATTGAAGCTAGATACTTGGGGCTACAGACGAGCCTGTGTAGAACATTTTTTTATAGAACATTTCTGTGATATAATAGCACTTGTTAACGCTTGTTTTCAGTTTTGTCTTCAGGAGTTAAGAAGACAGTTCCCTGGTAGTCACAGAGTAAAGCGGTTAACGGGCATGCGATTTGAAGCTATGGAAAGGTAAGCATGTAGTAAACAACCTAATCTCACTTAAACATGGCAGACATGGCAGCTGTACCTACAGTACATCATTGATGCAGAAGGGCTTTGCACTCCTCAGCTCTGTCTGATGTCGGGGTATTTCTCAATACAAATCACACTCGTACTTCTAGGAGACAGCATGACACGAAGTATAACCCATTTGCCACTTCTGACTAGCGAAATTAGGTCATGCTCTGCTGGAGGATGCACTTTAAATCCCAGTTCCAGCACGTTCTAGTTTTGGACTTGGCCAGTGAATACTAGGTATTTTCAGCTTTATTCCTCTAAAATAAAGATATTGCCAGCTTCCTAGGGTTGGAGGAGAGCATACCCATAGTCATGCATATGCTCTCAAATACATGGAAGACATGGTCATCATTTGGATCAGGAGTTTTCAATCTTGTAGAGAAATAACTCCTTTAGAGCAATACATTTAGCCTAGATATGGAGAGAAGAGATGATCTGTTTCAACTAAAGCACAGGTGGGGATGCATTCAAACCTTTGCTGAAATGTGTCCAGTACATTTGTGGGGCAATCCAGGAGAGTTAAGGGTTTATTGGGATTGAGGATAAGGTGAAGTGGAGTTTCCAGCTGGAATTGGAGCTGCAGATAATAGGCAGTTATGCATACGGGTCACTAATATGCCCTGCCAACAGGTGTCAACTGAAGATATGAAGAAACACGTTAGGTTATTTAAGGGAAGTGACCAACCTTTGGATTTATCTGTAAAAGCATTTTATGTACTATATAGTCTAAAAAAGAACAGTTTGAAGCTTCTTACTTCTGCTATCATTACTGTAAATTATAGCAGAATGTAGAGGATGGGTGAAAGAAATTAAGAGATAGAAAATAAACCATCAGTAACATTTTAGAAGTAAAGGCAAAAGATAAAAATGACTTAGTTTTCTGTCTTTATGCTGAGTTGTCATCAACCTAAGAACAACAAAAATGGGAAATAGTAGGTTTTGGTTGAAAAAGTGAGTTTGGTTTAACATCATGGATATCAAACTGAATAAGGAACAATTTGAATATATTGAATAAATTGTTCCTTATTCAGTTTGATAAGGACCCATGGCACCAAAATGTAGACTAGAATTCCCCTTAGATTTGTCACCTTGTATTGTAGGGTAGGATAGTGCCATCACTCTAACGGGAGTGAGAATGTCATCCAGTGCTTCCTGTACCTGGATGGTCAAGAGTTTTGATATGTTCTTGTTCTTTGTCATTTAAATAATCCAGCCTGGGGAGTTCCTGCTCATTAGAAATATAGAAATGAGTATTGGTGTCTCATCTGTTCTACACTTTGTCCACTTTCCGCATAGAGCTATGAGTGTGTGTGTGCTGCTCATGCAAATGCAGTCTGGTAATGCAAGTGTGGCTGCAGTACCCAACTCTGCTGTTGCTGTTAAACCTTTTCCCTTTGCTTCCAAGATGTAATGATGCCTGCCTGTTTTCTCAGTTTCTCACCATCCTTTTTCTGTATCCTCTGCTATTATTTATAACTCCAATGCCACAATCGCAACATAAATCGCAACATCATCAAAGTAGCCTCGGTCACTAGTTCTTACTTTCCTATTTAGATGAAATTAATGGTTTTCTTTTAAAGAAAGTTTTTCTGTAAATACTTTATAATTTTTGTTTTCTTAAGAATAAACCAAATGTTCACTGTAAAATGAAAATAGGAAGACTTGCATAGCAGTTATGAATGAAGATAAAGCTCTATTTAATATATTTCTGTATTTATGACATTTTAAGGTAATGGTTCTTGATATATCTTTCTTTTTAAATAGATATGATGATGCTATACAACTATATGATCGAATTTTGCAAGAAGATCCTACTAACACTGTAAGTTTGTACATTGTCCTGAGCATGACTTAAAAATTATGTAAGGGTAAAATAAATGAATTGAAGAAATACTGAGACAGATTGTTCTTTTTTTAATGTAGTTTAGGTGAGCCATGTTTTAGTTTAAAGATATTTGATACTCTTATTTCATTTGTTGAAGGTAAACTATGCTATATAAAAACCCCACAAGGCTTTTTCCATGTTATGAAGCTTTATGAAGTACCAGTTTATTTAGTGAGTGTGGATATTTTTTATTTATGTTAATTACAAATGAACGATATCTCGGTGATAGTTATATGGAATTAGTGCAACTATTTCATTTTGCTTTTGCCTTTTTCCTGTTTAATGTTTGAATTAAATTACATTAAAATGTCAATAATTATTTGTTTTAAAATTCCCTAGTTGTTTTTTTTTAATGTGGTAATGTTTAATTTAATATGCTGACATAGTTTGCCTCAGTTTTCCACTTATGGGAAGTTACAGAGGAGTTGTAGGCAATAGTCATCGTCATGTCTTTCTATATTGCAGTACACTTAAAACTGCAAAAAAAAAAATTTAGAATTAAAAAGTGTTTTAAAAATTGTTTTATTTTTATGGGTACAAGTGTTTTGCCCACATGTAAGCCTGTGCAAAATTTGTATTCAATACCTCTGGAGGCCAGAAGAGAATTGGAACTGGCTTTAAGAGAAGGTTGTAAGCTACCATGTGGTGCTGGGGTTAAAACCCCAGTCTTCCGGAAGAGAAACCAATACTATTAATAGCAGAGACAGTTCCCTAGCCTCTACTTTTGGCATTATTAAAGAAACACTAAACTTTAGTTTTATGTCCACACAAGGTAAACTAAGAGAAGCTAGCCACCTGGTGGTGGTTGCACATGCCTTTAATCCCAGTATTTGGGAGGCAGAGGCAGGCTCCAATGCTACAGAGAAACCCTGTCTCGAAAAACTAAAAAAAAAAAAAGAAAGACAGACAGACAGACAGACAGACAGACAGAAAGAAAGAAAGAAAGAAAGAAAGAAAGAAAGAAAGAAAAATATATATCTTTAAAAGTTATCGTTTTACCGTTTAAAAAAATCATATAATGTATATAAATAGATTTTATGATACCAAAATATTTAATTTAACAACAGTGTTAAATTAACACTGAGTGGTGTGACACATACATTTAATCCAGGTGCTTGATATACAAAAGAAGAAGGTGGATCCTTGTAAATTTAAGGCCAGTCTGGTCTATAGAGGGTTCCAGGATATTCAGGGCTACACCAAGAAACCCTGTCTCAAAAAATAAAAAAAAAAAGGAAAGAAAGGAAGGAAGGAAGGAAGGAAGGAAGGAAGGAAGGAAGGAAGGAAGGGTGTATAGTGTGAATTCTAATTGGTCTTAATAATAAAAACTCAGAGTCAGATATTAACTTTCTCCATTAATACCATGAGATAGCATATAATTCTGACCTTTGTACAGAATCATAAGGGCTTTGATCCACTTTACTAAGTTTTCTGATGTGTAGCCTGCCTTTCCTGATTTATTTGCATTAGTAAAGGTTGTAGGGGCTCCATTTATTGGTGTTTCCCATACATTGCAAGGAAGGATTCAGTTAGTTCTCTTTTTCAACTGAGTTCTCTTGCTTTGGGGATATTTGTTGCTATTCTCTCCCAAAAAAATTACTGCACCAGGCATAAACATTGTACGTAGACATGCATGGCATGCAGACAAAGCACCTGTACACATAAGATAAAATAAGTTATAAAATACCTATACACATAAGATAAAAGAAAGTACCATTTTTATATTGTTAGATAATTTCTCATGTACTTACTCAAAGAATTTACTAGTCTCCTTTGCCATTTAACCATATTTTGAAAAAAGTACAATCAAATTTCTGGAGTTTCTGGGTTTCCTATGCTTTTCAATGTAGGTTAATATGAGTAGCTAATAATCTGTTTTCTTGGAGTCAAACATATTACTTGTGCTGTGGTTTAAGTGGGGATATCTTTATTAAATTACTTCACCTAAAAGCAAGGGCTGAGTTTGTACTTAGTAGTAGAGTACTTGTGACAGCCTCATTTTCATCTCCACGATAACATACAAGAAAGAGTTAGGTAGTTTATAATTTGATATGACTTTGTCTTTTCATATTTTGTATTTTATGTACCTTAGTTGTTTTTTAAAACTGGCTAAAGGGAAATCCACTTTATTCCTTTCAGAGTATTCAGTAAGGAACAGCAAGTAGATCCAAGTGTTAGACATGTTGAACAAGGTGACTGGATTCAGGTTTCTCAAATGTATTATTGGTTATGAAATACAATCAAATAAGCTCCTCCTCTGTTTCCTAAGTGCTTACTGAGCACTTCTCTTGAGCCACCAAAATGTTTGTGACATAGCAATAAAGGGCAATTCTGTTCTTTTACCCTTAGGAATGAAGCAGTATATTGGATATTGAGGGGAAAGACACAAAGCCATTCAAAATTTAAAACTAATATATCTACTAGAAGACTTCACATTAGTATTAAACAGTTGAGTTACTGTGTTGAAGGCATCTCTGTTTCTTTTTCTAAAGCAAATTCTTGGCATAACCTCAAAGATGAAAGTCCTGCATTATTTGACACTGACCATCTGACCCTTTTGTCTTGTGCTTCTGTGTTTAATGAAGAAATGGATCTGTACATCCACTTTTAAAGACCCTCCTCATTCACACACATTCATTATTCCATCAGAAGCGCTGCGTGTTTGCTCTCGGCACCAGACAGAGGGTGCCTTAGATAGAGGCCTGCCTTGTCTTTGTTTCTCAGGAGGTTTCATTATATGACAAGCATCTTTTCGACCCTGGAATTGATTTATTAAGTTTTGTTTCTTTTGTGACTTTCTACATGAGTTTTGACCCTCAGAGGCTGTAAAGAATGAATGCGGCTTAAGTGAAATAAAGGCAGTGAGCTGGAAAAAGACATTAAATCCTATGTGAAGGCTGTACAAGATTTCCCAGAAAGTACAAGCCTTCCTCAGGGAAGGGAGGAGCATGATGACTAGAGTTACATTCTCAGAGCTCTGGGAAGGGTGTGGAAAGGAATACTTTCTCCTTACCCACTTTTTATAATTTGTACAACATTTTTTTCAAAAAGTTTTGGATAATCACATTAAAATTTATAGATACTAAAAAAATGACACGTGGGAAAAAACTAAGTCAGTCCTGCGCCTGAGCTCAAGTTCTTCCCTTGGGCATACTGTTGATTTACTATGATTTGCTTTCAAGGAATTTTTTAATGCACAGACAAGCTGCATATTTATGTATCTGTATGTGTGTCTGTGTGTGTTATTGTTGTTGTTGATGAAGTATTTTAAGTTTTATTTTGGAACTAAATAGAATTGCCTCTGTGCCTGTGGGGATACTTTGAGGTCACACACTCTTTGTGACTGGAGAACCAGGATTCCTTTGCTAAGCAATTCTTCCTTCTTTTCTGGGCCCTGAAATCTAGAGACCAGGGAGTTCCAATTGTGTTTTATTGGGTGGGGGGATAGAGTCATCGTTTAATCCATTTCTCGAGGTTATTTCTCTGCATGCAGTCTTTGAAAAGATGTGTTTTGTTTCATATCTTCTATTAAACTTGCTAATTTAGTCCAATTGTGTTTAAGTTATTAGAAGGCATGGAACTAATTTGATGATTTGTTCGTGATCCTTTAAAATTTAAAGCAATTTATATGAGTGTGTGTGTGTATGTGTGTTTGTTTTAGACAGGATCTCTATGTTAAATTGTCCTACTTAGGGCTGCCATTGCTGAAATACCATGACCAACTGGGGGAGGATTTGTGGAGCAAAGAGTTTGTTTATTTATACTTTCACATAACTATTCTTAAAGGAAAACAGGACAGAACTCAGGTAAGGTAGGAACCTGGAGGCAGGAACAGATACAGAGGTCATGAAGCAGTGCTGCTTACTGTCTTGTTCCTCATGACTCCTTCAGCTTTTCTTATAGAACCCAGGACCACCAGCCCAGGAGTGACTCCACCCACAGTAGGCTGAGACCTCCCCATCAATCACTAAGAACTGCCCTTAAAGAATATAGCCAGATCTTATGGAGGCATTTTCTTAGAGGAGGTTCCCTCCTCTCTGATGACTCCTGTTTTTGTCAGGTTGATGCAAAACTAGCCAGCACAGTAATGTAGGCTGACCTGGCACTCACTTTTTGGTTCAGGGTGATGTTGACTGAGTTTCTTATGGGGGCCATTTGTTGACTGAAGCTTTCTGTCCTGCCTGGTTCCTGCAATCGTTAAGTCCCAAAGAAATCACACAGAGGTCTACATTAACTATAAACTGATTGGCCCATTAGCTCAGGCTTCTTATTAACTCCTATAACTTATATTAGCCCATTATTTTTATCTGTGTTTGGCACATGGCTGAGTACCTTTTTCAGCGAGGCAGTAGTCACATCTTGCTTCTTTGGTGTCTGGACAGGACACCAAAGAGGGATGGGCTTTTCTCTTTCCAGCATTCTTCTGTTCTCATTGCCCCACCTCTACTTCCTGTCTGGTTGCCCCACCTATGCTTTCTGCCTGGCTACTGGCCAATCAGCGTCTATTTAAAACATAATTGACAGAATACAGAATTGTCCCACACCAGGATTTCAATGTTTCTTTGTCAGCCACCCATATTTGGGGAATATAGGCGTTTAAAACTTGTAACTTCTATGTAATTTTAGCTGGAAAAACCTTACAGGAACATTTCTGTCCAAATTCTGTTCTCCCCCAAATCTGGTTCTCCTGTGTCATCTCCCTTTTATTATTTATATAAAAATGAGAATATCCTATGTGTCCTATTGAGGATGCAGAAATATGTATATTATATTCAGTAAATAGATTTAGCCTAGAAGAGTCAGTTCTCTGAAACCAGGTATTACCCCTTATTCATTGGGTTTCTGTTGAGGAAAACAATGAGCTACAGGAAGTGTTTTTGACCCATGTTCTCAGTTTTAAGCAGTAGAGTAAGTTGTGGTCTGTCGCTTTTTTAATAGTTTGCACTGCTGCAAACAGTTTCTTCATAACTATATTGTATTGTACAACGTATCCAATTCTAAACTCAGAATATTGATTGGGATTAAGAGATAAATTATTGAATTTAGTACAGGTTAAAAATCTAGTCTTTTTTAAGGTTCATTTTTAATTTTTCAGAATTAAAACTAAAAATCACTGTAGCGGGGGGGGGGGAGGGGGGGAATAAGTGGTTGTGACGTGGGTGCTGAGAACTGAAATCAAGTCCTCCGAAAGAGCAGAAAGTACACTTAACAACTGAGCCGTCCTTTTAGCCCTACAATTCTAATTTCTGTGGGGACAACAAAGAAGATATATTTAATGTTTTCTGGGTTTGTTAATTCTGATGTCAATTAGGCATGTATATTTAAAATAGCTTATGTTATATTTTCTACTCTAGCACCACCTTAGAGGTAAGTGAATGCAGATGACAGGAGGATGATAGAGTTGAAAAGACTAAGGGTGTTGAAATGTCGTGTTTCTTGAATGTTTACTGTGAGTCCTTGTGGAGCTGAGTATTTATGTGTCATCTGATAATTATCACTAATCCTATAATTTTGTCAGGTGTTACTGTATTTATAAGGGGACATAGAGGCTTTAGGAGACCTAGCCAACATCATGCGCTAACAGACTCTGAAATGGCAGTTGGGGTCTAGAGACAGCCGTTGCTCATGATGATCAGATAAGCCACGAAGGTGAATAGAGTTGGGATTCCATTTTGTACCTTCTGCAAAAATTTCATTCTGCAAAGGTCATTCAGCTAGACTATGGTTGCTACTATAGAGTGTCCATTAAGGCAGACACGTGCTTTTAGCCCTTCCATTTCCTGAGCACAGTTCCTAGTGAATTTCACACTGGAAAGTCACGATAGAAAAATCAAGTTCTTTTCTTTACATACATTCCATGTGCTCTGAGTAGCATTCAAAAGCCAAGAGAAACCTTTTTTTGAACCTTACTCTGGTTGCTTGGTAATCATTCAAACCCACAGTCTCTGTGGCTCTCTGGAGTATTGTTTGACTCCGGGAGAGAATTTGTGAATTGCGATTGGACAGCTGAGTGGTAAGTGTCCAGAGAACAAGACTCTGCAGGAAAGCAGACTGAAAGTGTGCAGGAGCCTTACGCGTTGCTGTGTAAGTTGAGAATGACTCTTGTTTATATAAAATGAAGAGATTTAATTATCACTGCCTATTTTTCAGGTTCTTTTCAGTTGTAAAATATGTGAGGCAGCTGCTTTCTGTCTTCCTGTGTGTCTGCACGCGTTCTCCGTGGCCGGCACTGTTCAGTGTGAGTGAGGACACTGGCATGTGCTGCAGTCCCCTCTTAGCCCTGGGAAACTCTGTTGTTATTACAAAGCAAGACGATTTTATATATGATACTCTGCATATTCTCTACTTAAAATGTGAAGAAATGGCAAGTTCTTAAGACTTGAGTAGCTTTCCCTTTATGATTCCTCAGCAAAAAGGAACATGTTTTAAAGTTTCCTTTTTTATAATAGAAATCTTAATCCAGATATTGAAATTACTTACAAGATATAAAACACATTTTAATGTGTAAATTGACTTCTGCCAAGATTTATCCAGATAAAAAGTTTAGAAAAATTCAGAAAATTGCAACATATCACTGCATAAGAAAAGGTACAAGCAAGAAATAAAAAATGATATTGGGTGAACATTTTAGACTAAGATGTGCGGTCTACCCCAAATGCTCGTTCTGGTGGTCTGCCTGGCCGTGCTTTGCTTGCCCATTGATGTGCACTAATAGTGCACAGCTGAGTGCTTACGGGGAACTTCTGCAGCTATTCATCTTTGCTCTCTGTTTTCCATTTTCAGTAGTATCTCGTGCCCTGTACCGTGTTTGATCTTTGTGGAATATTAGCGCCTTCCTTTCAACTCATGCATTCCTCTGTTCTCACTCTGGGTTTTCCATCTATACTCAGCAGTCTTAAAGACTCCTCAAGATATTAGACAATAAATGTAATACCAACCTTGTTTTTCACTTCTCAATAATCAGCTCTTTATTACCTGATATCCTGCTATACATAAAAAATACATACTTATTATGTTTAGTCCAGTTCTTTGGCTCTTCTTAGGCAGGAAAGTTAATCTGTGTCTTCTACTCCATTTTGACCAGAAATGAAGAATGAAGCATCTACTTCATACCTGGGATGTTTTGGAGGGATGAAAAAGTGTGTGTGTGTGTGTGTGTGTGTGTGTGTATGATGGAATTATGTTATAATCCCAACAAATAAATAATTTTTAAATATTAAAAATAATTCTCCTTGGATCATTTTAGAGTATAGAGTACAGCTTTACAAATTATTCTGCACATGTTGAAAGGTCTTGGTGTTCTCAACAGTAGAGAATTAGAGAAATGATTTTGGAGTCAAATAACTGAGAACAAGTCACAGCATCATTGCATGTGTCCAGAACACCTTTCCTGAGACTCATACCACGTCATTGTGTTTATGACTGTTCATATAACACCTTTTACTATCATTTTAAGTGTATTATTTATATTTTTTGTTTGTTCTTTGACTATCCAATTTGTAGCTTTTGGCTCCAGAATTTTCAATAAGTTTTCATGGTATTTGTGTAGCAGTATTGTCCCTTCTTTGATACCTGTATGGATTGGCTCAAGGCATAAATGAGCAAAGCAAATCTGTGCCCATCCTTAAAGATCTTAGTATAGGTTGTGGCACAGCTTAAAACATAGATGTTATCATTGACAAAGGCTTAAGGAAAGTAGAAGTTAGCCCTTTATGTGCTCCTACACTGTTAGTTGCTTTATGTTGGCACTTGAAAGGAAGTGAAGGGAGCAAGATTTAAAGCAGATAAGAAAGTTGGTAAGTCACAGTTGAAAATCAATCAACTTTTCAATTTAATTTCAAAACCTATACTCTTTTGCTTTTATACTACATATGGAAAAATAGTTTTGTGAAGAAAAATAGACTTAATTTTATTTTGAATTTAACCATGTTTCAAATAATGCTGGATGTTCTTATTTAAATTTATTTTATTTCCTTGAACAACTCAGTTTCTTCTCCAGGCTTAGTAATGTAGTCCTAGAATATCAGGTCTTAGGAAACCGAAGAAGGAGGATGAATTCAGGGCCAACCTGGGCTACATAATGACACTCTTGTCTCAAAATAAGAAAAAAGACAGGGTTGGAGAGATGGCTCAGAGGTTAAGAGCACTGACTGTTCTTTCAAAGGTCCTGAGTTCAATTCCCAGCAACCACATGGTGGCTTACAACCATCTGTAATAGGGTCTGGTGCCCTCTTCTGGCCTGCAGGCATACACACAGACAGAATATTGTGTACATAATAAATAAATATTCAAAAAAAAAAAGAAAAAAGACAGAAACAGAGAGGGAGAAGAGATGAGAGAGAATGAGCTAGATTATGCCTCCTTTTCAGTACTTAAGGTTCCCACTTTAAGGGTAACATTTTTCTAATAGACCTAAAATTTGATTAACCTTCAAAGCTTTAACTTTAACTTGTGAATTCTTGATATTTCCTAAATTTTAAACTTATTTTGATGCTTCTGTTTTACTTACAAAAGCAAATCTCTCCAAACTCCAAAGAAAAAAAGAGACAAAATGAAAGAGTATGCTTACTGTGTGGCTTTGTGTGCTGGTCCTTTTAGCCTGAGCTGAATAATCAAGGATATATTTTCTTAAATACGTCAGTACTAAAATATTGTTAGCATCATTATATTTTTCTTAGGCTTGATAGTGAGTCACTTTTGATTTTTCTCTGTCTTTTTCGGAGTCCATCCCACTATGTGTAACTCCTAGTAGTTTAAAGAGACTTCATGCATTTTCCCTTTTTTGTCTGTATCTTGGGGAAAATGTATTCCATAGAGCAAGAAATCATGTTTATAATAAATAAGGTCTACCTGTTCCTAGTCACATTTTATTTTCTTTGTCCTGTATTTGAACTTAGCAGAGTTATAGGTGATCTACATGCAATCCTTTATAGGACTTACTGTGGTCTTGAACTTGTGGTGGTTCTCCTCGTGCCTTTGCTTGTGTGTTTCTGCCAGGGTGCAGTGTCCCACACAGTATGGCTGTTGTATTTCAGTGTGGGCATCTACATCTGGAGTCCTTTCAGCCTCTCTTCCTCACTCTTCCCACTGTGCCACAGCGTATTGTTGTGACATCCTGGATATCTCTGCCATTGTTCTTAACTGCATTAACTTTGCACTAAATGCATCTTTCTCATGAGATAATTCCTTTAAGAAATTATTTATTTCCTTGTTATAGTTATCATTTCATTGTCTGGCACAGTACGTGGCAGACATCAGTTATCTCATAGTTAATTGAAGAATGCATAAATTAGTAACATTAATTTCTTTATTTATCATTTTTATAACTTTAAAATGTAAGTTTTAACATAATTTTCTTATCAAGGCCAATTCTATTCTTTTTAAAGATTCATAAGTAATTTGCTTTTCTTTTAAAATTGTGAAAAAAATTGTCAGAAGCCAGATTTGTTTAATGTCATTCAAGTGTCAATTGTGTGATACACCCCTCTGCCCCCCAATCTTCACTGCCTCTTAAGATGGTGACCCTACGAGTGAGACGGAGTGAACAACATTGGGTGGGTAGAGATTAAGATTCCCTGCTGGCTTGTAATTACAAGACTCTGGATGGTTATTTATTTGGATGAAATGATGCATACGTTTTTGCATGCATCAAAAGTAATGCATGTTTGATTGTTGGAGGAATGTCTGAATTCCCCAGTGGGATGTCATGGGGATGTTTATAAACTCTCACCAAGCAGTTCTTCCACAATGGAATTTCATTGGCATTGAGATAATAATTTGCACAGTCAAATTACTTTCTTTTCAAAACCAAGGGACTTATGAGGACCTAATCCTTTATTAATGTCAACCCATAGGCTGCAAGAAAGCGTAAGATTGCCATTCGCAAAGCCCAGGGGAAGAATGTGGAGGCCATTCGAGAGCTGAATGAGTATCTGGAACAGTGAGTGTTTTACAAGGGGATTGTGTTTTGTTATTCTGATAAATCTTTTTTTAATTAAAATGGAATTTGCATTTGATTTTCTAGTTTGTTCATTTATAGAACATTTATAGAACACATACTCTTTTATTTTCTCCTGTCAGATTTGTAGGAGACCAAGAAGCCTGGCATGAACTCGCAGAACTTTATATCAATGAACATGAGTAAGTTGTTAAAAACATGTAGAACGTTAAGAATGAAACTGTAAAGTTCAGTAGACTTATTTCTAGAAGACTGGAAAAAAAGTCAATCACCTGTCATTGCAGATGAGGAGGAACTAATTAAATGAGCAAATAAGTAAAAACTAATAAATAAAAATTGCTAGTTATGTCAGTAGCTTTTAACTGGGTCATTTGGCTTTACTAAATTATTTTTGACCAGAAAATAAGCTTTTCTTTTAAATACAAGTGGGATCCTTTGGAATCTGAAAGGCTTTTTGCCAAGCTATTTCTTTTGGGAAATCAAAATTGTGAATTTTAGAGTTCAAATTGTTCTCATATACAAAGAGTATTATACTCCCTGCTGTTTGAAAATTCAGTCAATTGTATGCATTTATTAACCTCAGTCCTAAGAGAGTCAACTCTTCCCGAGCAGAAGCGTCTGGTTGCCTGGGTTAAAAAGTAAGTGTGATCAAGAATGTTGAATGCTGTAGGAACTTGGTTATTGGGTATTTAATGTTTTTGTTAGCTTTATTATTGCCGTAGTGACAAGAGGAAAACCTAGTGAGCAAGGATTAGTGCAGAGTCCTAATGGAGGTTTACAAACATCGTAGCATTAGCACTAACCTCCAAGTAGGGTGTGAGGCTTACTTCTTTTTTCATTTAGGCCTAAATCTGAATGATATCACATTGCCTTCCTTTTGAAAGAATAGAATTAGACTCCCATGCACACTTTCTTGTGTGTGTGAATAGTTAACTGTTCTCTCAGCACTACACACAGGTGGCACCAGAGATAAAACAGAAGGAGATGTGTATATTGCCTTTGCCCAGGTCTTTACAAGCGACTGCGGAATCATGCTCATGATTTTAGTGAAAGTGGCATTGAGAATAAAAGCCATAGCTGTCACGTAGAATGCATATTACATCCAGGAGCCATTCTTCCACCTTGTGTTGTGCCAGAATCTCTTCCCAGGGTAAAGGATCTGTTTACTGAATTGTGTTCAGAGTAAATGTATATAAATAAGCCTGCATATGCTCAGGATGGGGTCACACACAGTATTTGAGTAGAAAACTAGATGTTCAATGTGCATTACAAATGCTCACATTAGATTTTATTTTTATAAAGGGGGGCAATCATTTATAATTTCTTTGTACTTTTTGAAGATCCCTAACTAAAAGCAGTTTTAAAGTTTCAAATTATCAAGGAAATCTTATTTTTTTCAAGATAAAAAAAATACCTAATGCAGAAAACCTAGAAACTCCAATAAAACATAAAGTCACAATCAGATTTACTTGAAATTCCACCCACCTAACTGCACTGTTCCCTGCCTTCTCTTGTTGTATGCTGCATGAAAATCACTTAAACCTTGTGAGGACATTTCATTTTAACCTTAATTTGAATTTTTGGTGGCATCTTAGATAAAAGAGCATTTTTAGATATTGAATGTCAGACAGAGAGTGCTTTCTCCTTACTTTTTAGATAAGTAGCTACTAGATGAGTCATCTATGGTTTTGTTTTAGATTTGTATCTGATCCTTTATTTGTCTGCTTGTTTAGTGGATACCTTTTCAAGAATGAATGCTAAGTTTTAGGTATAAAGATAAGAAGAGCTGAAAAACTGCAGAAGTTGGCTAGGAATCTGTGTGTAAGATCCTCCAGAAATAGATGATTTTGGGAGTTTGCAGGGTGAATTCGATTCCTTATTCCCTGTGTGTTTGACTGCTGTACCGGCTGACAGTTTCATTACTATTGCCAACACAAGTTTTCATAGTGCTGTGTGGAGCTGTATCCAGGCAAGTCAGGCAGTAGTTATATCGTGGCTCTTTTCACTGGTACAGCCTGGGTTGTAGTTGACCTCCCTGTACCTCTCTCTCTGCAGAGAATGAGCATTAATTTCTACTTTTTTGGGTGTTTCTGTAAGATAAAATGGGTTAATACACTTAAATATTTTGAGTATTACAGGGCATACAATGAACATGTAATGAAATTACTTATTACTGTGTACGTAAGTGTGGATTTAGAGTATATATTTCAGAAAAGATGCAAAGTGTTAATATGCACATATTGATAAATACTAAAAGTAACTTTAGTTAGCCTTGTTCTGTTGAGTGCCTCACTGGGAATAAACCTTGCAACAGCTAAGCATCATAAGGGTTTTCTGTAAATAGTGAGGATGGTTACATAGCTTTAAGCATATAAAATTAAGGTAAATTATAATCACATGGTCTAAAAGCTATTTTAAACAGAATCCTCCTGGCAGCTCTCTCTGCATATTTTCAGCACCACTTGATTTAATAGTAGTGGAGGGAATATCTGATCAAACTTCATCTATTATTGATAGCTTTAGAAAAACCTAATTTTATTTTGAAAAGTCTTAAAAAATGAAGTCTTTGTTGTAGGATATATTGAAGGTTGTAAAGCAACTAGACAGGATTTTGTTAAATGCTCTATTTCCTCCTGCTGCTTTAGCTATTTAAACATTAATAGTAATTTTTCGAAGCTATGCTCCGTAGAACTCCAAGGGTAGCGCCTGTGCAGTTGATGTGTAGGTGCTACTGTAATGGTGCAACTTTTAGAGAAGTAATAGCCATTGATTCATAGCTTACTTTGGGATTAAACATAGATTTATTATTCACTTCAATAAAAGTCTACATAGTAGATTTTGAATTAATAAATGCTTTAAATCTGCTTAAATAGCTTTAGAAATAAGTTTCTCATGTCACTAAGATTTTAAATTATTTTAAAGTATGTTTAAGATAGTTTGTGACTTAAAATCTCTATATCCCATTAATATTTTGCAGTTATGCCAAGGCAGCCTTCTGCTTAGAGGAGCTAATGATGAGCAACCCGCACAACCACCTGTACTGTCAGCAGTACGCGGAAGTGAGTGAGCCCCGCTTTCCTCCTTGCAGCCAGCTTCTCAGCACTTTATAACAGCCAATGAGTGCCGAGGGGGATGCAAGTCAAAAAATTTAAATATTGAGCTGAAATTCTTTGTAGTTTCGTACAGTATTTATGTTGATCTTCCTAATTATGAATCAGTTAAATCACAGTTGTCAATATTTAATTCCTTCTGAGACATTTATAATACATATTCTAGGCAATTCATGAAATATAGGAAATATTTGTTTAATTTGCACAGTATTAGAAATCATAGTTTAATTGACTACTGTAATGTTATAAAGACCTCATATGAAAGGATATAAAAGAACTATTCCTTCCATTATTAAAGTGCAGATATAAAATAGAGAATTCTTATTTGGAGTCTAGATTTATAATACCAGTAATAGAAACGACAGTGTTGTGCCTCAGTAAGACCATTGAAATGAAAAGTGTGCTATACTTTTTTAGTGTGGCAATATTTTTTATAATAGCTACTCTGATCCTATGTTCATAGCAGAGAATAGTTCGGCAAGGGCAAGTGTGTGTTTTAAATTTTAGATTAACTACCTTGCAGTGAATTCTTTTAGCATGCTGCATTTGTTAATGGAATATCTGTTCTCATTACTTAATGCCTATCTATGATGGAGCATGCTACATTTCAAAGTGGTAAAATAAACAGGTTTCAGCAATCTGTAACTTTTAACAGGTCAAATACACCCAAGGTGGACTTGAAAACCTTGAGCTTTCAAGAAAGTATTTTGCACAGGCACTGAAACTCAACAACCGAAACATGAGAGCTCTGTTTGGGCTTTACATGGTGAGTTGGTGTGCGTGTTCAGCGTTACTCTAGAGAGTCTGGCGTCTCAGCCTCCCGGTCTCCCCTGCGTGCTTTCTTATTGTGTTGATGAACAGAGTTGATTATGAGCAGGAGGCTGCAGAGCAGCTTTCCCTGTGATGGTGTGTACTTCTTTGCTCTGCGACATTCCATTTGAGATGTGCTCGCCATATCAGAATCGAACAGTGTTAGGTACTAAAGCATAATATATATATTGTTCATTTGTTTGATATTTTTGGGTGTGTACCCAGTGTTACTGTACTTCTTTCCTAATTATAAAAGACATTTTAACCTATGCCAATAAAAAGTATTAGAAGAAAACTCTATAGTATATCAAATTTTAAATATTTTAAAGGTGTAGAAAAACTGTTTGAAAATTATTTGTGAAATTACATAGTTATCAGTTAGCATGGCCAATTAAGACCTTAAAAATGTTTAACAAGAACTGTAAGAAGCAGGATATTTTGCGGAGCTTTAGAATATTGTTAAGACTGGTACCTGTTTGTAGTCAGAAAGGCCAGGGAAACTGATAGGTCCCCTAGTTCTTTGACATTGTAATTTACCTTTTGTTTTTCCTTTGTTTTGAAAGTTTATCATTTCAGAATTTCAAACTTGAATTTTTTTTTTTTATAAAATTCACCTTCTACTCCTTCAATATCCTCCCCCCCATTTTTCCTTCTCAGATTCATGTGCTTTTTTAAAAATCTACTGAATCCAATTAGAGTTGTCAATATTATACTAGTCTCTTTTTATTGACTCTTGATGAATGTCATTTTTGTTGAAGGCAGTGAAAGATAATTGGTTGAAAATATAGTGATAAGAAACAAATGACATAATTTTCAGGAACAAAATGTGATTAAAGTTTACCTCAAAGAATTTAAAGAAATTTTTCTTTGATTCTACCAGAAACAATTACAGTGCCTTGGAGATGCACCGGTGTTGGCAGTATCTAAGAAATAATGGCCATCTTTAAAGCTGCATGACAGCTTTTACTAAGAATTCCTTGCTTGTACAGGACATTGCTGAGTGCTGGTTTTCATTTCACATCAGCTGTTTAAGTACATACTCTAATTGCTACCTGAAATTCATAAATGCTGCAACTGAGATACACACACCATACAGTTCCTTTTTTAAGGTGGGATTCCAGCCCCGGCATTTGGTTTTTATTCAACCACTGCATTACCTGGATTTCATATAAAAATTTTGCCACAAGAATACAGATAACCCACTGACTTCAGAGGAGAGAGTGCAAAGACTATGAAGGAGACCTTAAAAGAAAACTTAGCCTTTCTTGAGTTTCATAGGTAGATCCTTATAAGAATAAGGTATATTTAGGAATACAACCAAAGTTCAACCTTCCTCTTCCCAGAAGTATAAAGATATATTTTAAATCCAACCTGTTGTTTTGAAGATTTATAGGTTATTTTGCAGATATTAGACTAAGACTCTCTCATTAAATTACATAGTTTTTAAAGGCAGGTTGTTCTGTAGAGTACGACTGCACTGGAATGACGAGGCGATTAGAGAGGAGTATCCTTAGATCAGAGCTTGTTTTTCCCAAGCTAGATTATTTCTATTGGCCTTAATATATTTTCACCTTTTAATATAGGAAGTTTTGCTAAATTGTTTTTGAAGTTCTTTCTGTTAATATTTGATAATCTGATATTGGATATTTAATATTTTTAAGTAGCAAGAAATAATAATATCCTGAGTAAAATGCTTTGGTTTAAAAAGTACACTTCCACAGTGTTAGAGATTTTATCTTTAAGAGCTGATGTAGATATATAGTTAAATAATATTAGATATACTTTAAAATGTTCTTTGTCTTGTTATTTTGGATTATGCTCCATTTTAAATTATATTTTAATTTTTGAGCATTATTTTTATTCAATATTATTTTTATTTAAAAATTGTTTTGCTTCAGTATTTTAAAATGTGTTATCAACTATCTACAGCTATGACTCTTGCATGTTTTTATTTTCATAGCTAGAAAAGAATTTTGTTTTTGATGTTTCTTTTTTGTTTTTAGTCTGCAAGTCATATTGCTTCTAATCCAAAAGCAAGTGCAAAAATGAAAAAGGACAACATCAAATATGCCAGTTGGGCTGCTAATCAAATAAACAGGGCTTATCAGGTCAGTATTGACAATTTTGGTGTGTAGGTTGCTTGATGTCTTTCTTTGTCACTTTGGTCTCTGTAAACTACAAAGGCAAACGTCTGTTATTGGAAGTTGTTTTTACTGCCTTGGACCTGTATCACATACTTCCTTTCTGACCTTCCCCCACAAAACAATCTCTTAGTTTAATGATATAATTAACCTTTAATTTGTAAATCTCATTTATTAAATATGAAGAAATTATAAAGCCCAGAAGTTAAACCAGAGGATGCAGTTTAGAAGTTGGATGTGAGAATGCATTTGCATTGATAGTATGTCAGGAAATAATAAGAAGCAAAAGAAAGGCTTCATGGTGAACTAACCGGACCTCCTATTAAAGCTTGCATTGTCCGTGTGCATTTCAGAGCACATATCCAATTTCTCTAGTTGTTAATTTTCTGCAGCTCATTTCTAGGGAATTTTCCCTTTTTTTTTTCAGGAATTTTTTTTCTTGGGAAATTTGTCCATAAGAAAACTACCTGCTTGCTTTTTGTTTTTGTTTTTGTTTTTTTTTAAACCACATTTGTATTTACAGGACAGTTTGGCAGTTTATGGTCTTTTTGGCTTACATTTACTACGTGTTTGAACTGTATTTTCCCAATGGCTTATGGATAGAATGTTGTCCAGAAACGTAATGCCATTCCAACTTTCTCTCATAAATGATTTAGATTTTTGCTTGGTTGCCCAAAGTAATTTTTTCTTTATCTTTAAATTTGGAGGTCTGTGATATATTTTGTTGATTGTTTTGGGGTCAGTATTTCTAAGTGCACAGACCCCTTGTTTACAGCAGTCAGCCCTGCTACTTGAGAAAGAACACTTTTAAGAGTTATGATTTCTATCCTCTTTGCTCCAATGTTCTCCTTCGAGACTTCAATTATAAATACATTGCTTCTCCTCTTCCTACCCTTTACTCGGTTTCTTTCTCCTTTTTCTGTCATTCTGTTGTTTTTAACATAATAAGATAGTTTGGAGTTTGTTCACCTTCTTTTTCTTGTTTCCACATTGGAATGAGGTCTGGGCTGTTAGGATGTGTCTTTGGGATGGAGTTGGGGTTGTGATGGGGTAGCTTTCCTCACTTGTCTCTTCTGTCTTCCCTCTTTGTTACAGAGCATTCCTTTGTAACTGCTCTGGGGGTCTGCTCTTTGTCACAGATAGGCCTGGCTTGGATGTGCTGGCTGCAGTCCTCTTGGACTCCACAGAATTCTGTAGGGCTGGGGTTCTCAGGTGTTGCCCTGAGCTTGAGATGCCCTGTGGTGTTGACTGTTGGTTTTCTTTGGCAGTTCGTCCCATCTTAGTTTCTTTCTATCGTTTCTTCCTCTAGTTGTACGTTTCTGTCCTATTCAGTTTGCTTTCAGATTTTAGTATTTTCTTTGAGTTTTGAAATGTTTCTGCTTTGGGAACCAGAGATGTTGGCTGCATGTTTGAAGTCCTACATTGTTGAATTCGTTTAATCATATTTACATGAGCTTTCTGACGTGCCTGTGATTTGGAGGTTTGAAGACACTTTCCAACCTTTTTGGGCTATCTGTAGATTCATCAACTCAAGTATTACTCTTTGGGAGACTAATGTTGGTAATTTTTTTCATTTTTGATTTATTAAGGTCTTAGAATCTCTTCTCTTCATTGCTTCAACATAGAGCTGGTTCTCTGTTGCAGATCCTGCTGCCATTGACCATAGGATCTCATTGGAATGTTTAGAAAATTGCTTGTGAATGATGTTTTTGAAATGTGTTATTTGAGGGCTGATTTTTCTCTTGTGTTCATTTGTTTTAATGTTGTTTTAGCAATCCTTAGCTAGAGAAGTTTGGGACTATTAAAAAAATTCTTTGCCTCCTAATTGTACTGTTGAAAATACTCTTTATTTATATATGTTATATATCATAGAAAATATTATTCTATTAGCATATTATGACTCAGAATGCTTATAAATATCTAGTCTGTGTTTGTGTAAATGTAGTTGGCATAGCCCAAATCTCTTCTGTATGTGTGTGTGTGTGTGTATGTGTTTTAAAGATAGGAACAATATAACAACACAAGGTGATAGTGTGTACAATATATGATTATTTAGATTTATTAGAAATGGCTACCCAGGAATTGACTTTTGATATGACATGAATACATTTTTTTGTGTGTGTAGTTTTTTGAGACCAAGTTTCTCAGGCTTGACTGTCCTGTAACTAGCTCTGTAGACCATACTGGACTCGAAATCGCAGAGATCTATCTGCCTCCTACCTCCCAACTACAGGGATTAAAGTCATGCACCACCACCACCCAGCACATAGTCCTCCTGACTCAGCTTCCAGAGTACTGAGAATATAGGTATACATCCCTATATCTGGCTCAATTTCTCACTCTTACTGGGTGACCCACAAGGACAGTGTTTCACTGATGTTACAGTGGATGCATCACTGGCTCTACATTTGAGAATGAGGCTTTTATCTTTTCTTTTTTTGTTGTTTGTTTTTTTCAAGACAGGGTTTCTCTGTGGCTTTGGAGCCTGTCCTGGAACTAGCTCTTGTAGTGAGAATGAGGCTTTTATTGTTTGGTTGTTCCTATGTTCTTTCTGGTAGGTTTTGTTGTTGTTGTTTTAAGATCCACAAGCCAGGCATGAATAGTTTGTTCACATGAGTATAACTGGGGTAAACACAGAATCTGAATGATCTGAGAAGTAGAACTTCCAGACCCACATTCTTGACCCACTTTAAGAGCCATTTGAGAATTTAGGAACGTGTATCAAGACATATAAACCAGTATAAAACATAAAATATGTATTTGTTACTGCAGTGTTTTCTACATATTTATAAATTTGAAAAAATGGGGTTTTATCAGCAGTTTTTCTTTGCTTCCTCTTAATAAAACAAAACGTGGCCACTGCTTGCTCTTTAACTAGTTGGTGTAGTGTGTTGAGGAGAACAGACATTGGTTTAGTGTGCTGGAAGTTTCTTGTAAATCTGCTGACAATTTTCCAGATCAACACTTTCTGTATATACTGTTAAATTTGTCTGTCTCAGATCCATATGTTATTATGACTGTCCAACTGGATCTATTACTGCCCTTTTGGAAAATGGAAAATTAAATCATGATTTGAGGAAAAAAATGAGATCCTGGCTTAATCAGTTCAATTGCCATATAATTCTGGAATAGACTAGATAATTGTGTGTCAGGAAGAACTTGGAATGATAGATTTATATTTGCAACTTTTAAAATGTGTTTTGACATACGTTTGAGGTAACTTGGTTTGTCCTAAGGTGTAGTGTTGTCAGTAGTGGTGACACTATCTTAATGTCTGTATTTTGATCAGCTAACTTTGAAGAACCATGCTTTTACTTTTGAAAGTATATTTATATGTAAATTTAGCAATCCTATATTTAAAAATAGCTGCTAAGGTGTCCCAAAATTTTTATTTTCAGTTTGCTCTTAAGATAAAATTAGAATAATTATAGAGTAATAAATTAGAATAATTGTTTTGTACCCTTTCCCCCAACCTGTCAAGACTTTTTATCAAAATCAGTCCATAAATGTTGTGCTTAGAGCCATTCCTGTCTATACTGAATGAGCAGTAAAAGAAAAGCCTTTCTGTGCTTGCCAAGTCCCACAAAGATAAATTTATCAACTGGATGATAGGGCAAGATGCGTACCTTCTCTATAATCTCTAATTGCTAAGAGAAATTATTTTCACGAAGTTTTAAATATGATGTTGCCATAATTCATAGCCGTAATTCTATTTTTCCCACTTCCCTTCCTTTTTTTATTTTTTTTATTTTTTTTTTTTATTTATTAAAGATTTATGTCTCTTCCCCACCGCCGCCTTCCCTTTCCCTCCCCCTCCCCCAATCAAGTCTCCCTCCCTCGTCAGCCCAAAGAGCAGTCAGGGTTCCCTGCCCTGTGGGAAGTCCAAGGGCCACCCACCTCCATCCAGGTCTAGTAAGGTGAGCATCCACGAAACTGCCTAGGTTCCCACGAAACCAATAGGTACAGTAGGATCAAAAACCCATTGCCATTGTTCTTGAGGTCTCAGTAATCCTCATTGTCCACTATGTTCAGCGAGACCGGTTTTAACCCGGGCTTTTTCAGACCCAGGCCAGTTGGCCTTGGTGAGTTCCTGATAGAACATCCCCATTGTCTCCGTGTATGGGTGCACCCCTCGCGGTCCTGAGTTCCTTGCTTGTGCTCTCTCTCCTTCTGCTTCTGATTTGGACCTTGAGATTTCAGTCCGGTGCTCCATTGTGGGTCTCTGTCTCTGTCTCCTTTCATCGCCTGATGAAGGTTAATATTCAGGAGGAAGCCTATATGATTTTCTTTGGGTTCTCCTTCTTATTTAGCTTCTCAAAGAACCTGAATTATAGGCTCAATGTCCTTTATTTATGGCTAGAAACCAAATATGAGTGAGTACATCTCCCTTCCAAAAAAAGCCCAGGACCAGATGGGTTCAACGCAGAATTCTACCAGAACTTCCAAGAAGAGCTAATACCTATACTCCTTAACGTATTTCACAATATAGAAACAGAAAAGTCATTGCCAAATTCCTTTTATGAAGCTACAGTTACCCTGATACCAAAACCACACAAAGACCCAACCAAGAAAGAGAATTACAGGCCTATCTCACTCATGAATATTGACGCAAAAATTCTCAATAAAATACTGGCAAACCGAATTCAAGAACACATCAGAAAAATTATCCATTATGATCAAGTAGGCTTCATACCAGAGATGCAGGGCTGGTTCAACATATGCAAATCTATCAATGTAATCCACCATATAAATAGACTGAAAGAAAAAAACCATAGAACATTTCATTAGATGCGGAAAAAGCATTCGACAAAATTCAACACCCCTTTATGATAAAGGTCTTGGAGAGAATAGGGATACAAGGGTCATACCTAAATATAATAAAAGCTATCTACAGCAAACCGACAGCTAACATTAAATTAAATGGAGAAAAACTCAAAGCCATCCCACTAAAATCAGGAACAAGACAAGGATGTCCACTCTCTCCATACCTCTTCAATATAGTGCTTGAAGTTCTAGCAATAGCAATAAGACAACATAAGAAGATCAAGGGGATTCGTATTGGAAAGGAAGAAGTTAAGCTTTCGTTATTTGCAGATGATATGATAGTGTACATAACCCACTTCCCTTCCTTAAGCTGTGATGTTGCATTATGGAAGGCAGGGTGCCTGTGTTTACGGTGCCATTGCTAACATGCTCTCTAATTGTCCCTTCTGCCAAGTAGACACTGGGCTGCAGCACCTAATGCTGGAGGAGTGACTGTGAGCGTAGGCAGGTCAGAGGAGGTGACCAGTCACAAAGCCTGTGCTCCTGTTACCTGTGCGCTCATCCCGTCTTTCTAGACAGGTCATGAATAGTTTGCCAAATTCAGAAATTACGAAAGAAATAAACACATAGTAAATCAAGTATTACTTACTGTCATAAGGTAGTTGCTGGAAAATGTGTTAGAATTACTAGATGTTGTTTGACCATGGGAAAGTAAGGACTACAGGTAGAATAGACTTCCCCCTCCCTCAGAAACAGTCATTTATCTGGTAAATCTGTTGTATTTAATCAAGCTAATGTAACAGTAGTGACTGTCAGCGCAGTTAGAAAACTCATTTTGAAATCAGCATGGGGTATTCAGCAGTGATTCCCCAGTGACTCAAGTCCGTGCGTTTTGAAATTTAAAGTATTGTGAATTTACTTTTGTATACACAAACATAGAACTTAATATATTGTTTTTGGTTTTCACTATAAATTCTAATCTGAATAAACAAGAAACATATCATCCAGTTAACTAACAAATCTGAGACGTTAAAAATGTGACCTATTGTAAATAATGTTAAAGTGTGTGCACTTTTACTTTGAAATGCTTAGTTAAAGTCCTTTCATTTGTGCACTTGCTTGACATTCCAAACATCTGTTTGTATGGTAAGCAAGTAGATAGCAACTGCTGTCCTCTATATGTATGGCTCAAACTTCCTTTAAATTATACAGTGGTCCATAAATGCTCTAGAGTCTGGATCTAGGGTAGTTTTCAAATCCAATCTAAGCTTTTATAGGTTATCATACTAATTAAAATAGCTTAAACTGCCCAAGTACATGTAGTGAAATATTTAATGCAAATGTCCGTAAAACTCTGGGTTTGTTGTATTGAAAAACACATGTGATTGCACACAGATGATGTAATCATATTTTTATTAGCAATAAAATATAACGATGAGTGTGATGTTTGAACTTTGTAGTGATTTTGAGACTAATTGAATTCTTTTTTTTTTTTCTTTCTAATTAGTTTGCAGGTCGAAGTAAGAAGGAAACCAAATACTCTCTTAAGGCAGTTGAAGACATGTTGGAAACATTGCAGATCACACAGTCTTAAGGTTGCAGAGACTCTTTGACATTAGATTTGAAAACTGTACAGCTGAATGTCTTGGCCTGTGACTTATTTACTAAATGCCAAGTGCTGTTTGCATTCATTTTCTTTGAAGAGGTCAGTTATAAAGAATGTGTTCAAATAAACCTCAACTTGCCTTGTATTGATAAGCAGGGAGTTGGCGGGAGTCCATGGAAGAGAGATTCAAGACCTATTGATTGTATATATGTCTTCTTGTTGCCCCATTTACCTTAAAAATAAACCATGATTTATTAAACTCATGCATGAAAATCCAGGTTTCTTTTGTTATATTGTAATTAGTATGCTAGTATAGAGTTCATTTGTCAGCTAAGTTCTTCTCATTGGTGTTGATAAATTACAAAATTTATAGCTTGCAGAAACAAGTTACTTTGAATGTTTTATAGTGACAGACTGGATTTTGTGGCCTGTGTGAATGTTTATTATTTTAATTTGTTCTAATAATAAGTCTTGCTTAAATTATGCCATTCTCTAAAGTTGGTAATATCTCTGAAATTTTTTTGATATATACATTTTGTCCATAAAATGTTTTGAAGGTAAAATGGGCCTTTTTACACATTGTGTTTATTAAAACTTTTAGTTGTGAAATATAGAAAATATGTTTAGGATCATAGAAATATCAGTGAAAGATACTGTTATCAGTGGGACTACTTAGTTTTGAGGGTGAAGGGAAAAATCTAAACTGTCTTTAGGAATAAAATCATTACAGTTCTCATATACAGTCACCTCCTTACTACAGTTTCTTGTCGTTTTCTTTGTGTGGTCCATAGCCATTATTCTGCCTTCAGCAGCATTTCACATATAGGTTAGAGACGACTGAGCACTAAGTACTCGGCAGCTGTCTATTCAGGGCTCTGTATTCACTATCTGTCACTAGGGCTTGTGCGGAAAATCAACAACTGTCTTCATTACCAGCCAGTTTTACCTCTTAATAATTCTTTGTACCAGTAAATTATTTTTAATCTTTCATCTAAACTTCAGTGTTACATGTATTTTCACTTTATTCTCTCATGGGTCATGAATGGAAACATGGTATCTTCTGTGAACTAACTCTGCCCATGTGAAGACAATTTTCCACTTCTGATCTGTGAGCATGAAGATCTACTTTCTGTGTACACAAACTACTACCTGCATTTCCAGCATTATGAAACGTTTATGTTTGCCATAAAGAACCTAGTGCCTGCACATTGTCCCGTTACTTTTTCTCCCTCTCCTGTCCTCCCCACCAGTCACTGGAGAAGAATTTACTTCTGCACTTGTATTTGTGTGGTAAGTAATTTAGTTCTTCCTCTGGCTGCTTACCTTGGTTTCCTTTTATTTTTTAAAGTCATTTTTAAAGTAACTTCCTGCCAAGAACTTTAAGTACATGGTTAATAGTAGTAATTTATAAGTTTCTGCTTAGGTGCACTGACGATCTCTGTTCTTTATTTACAGTGAGTTACTTTGTTCAGGTAGTGACAGAACTTCCTTTCCTCGGGATTAGAGGAGAATCCAGACGAGGTATCATAACTCATAGGGAGCAGAGCTGGTTTGCTCCTTATGGTCAGCAGTCAGGTAAGACGGCTTTTGCTGGATGGAAAGCATTTGCTGTCTTGTCTGGCTCTCTTAGTCGTGGCTATTGAGCACTGGACATGATCTGGACTCTTAATGCAACTGAGAAGCTCAGGTTTTGTGGTTTACATGGATTTAGGCACGGATGATGTGTGGTAACAGCGATAGGTGTGAGATCTGACAAGGTTAGGCCAGTGAAATGAACAGAAGCTTGCTGAAAAGGCCCTGCTTCCAACGGAAAAGGTGAAGTTGGTGAAGTGATGCTTTTTGCCTCCTTTCCTGCTCTTGAATGTCAGAAAAATGAGTTCCCATGCTGTTTAGAACTGCCGAATGGCAAGTGAGAGAATGACAGTTCCACTTCAGAGAAGGAGCACAAGTTAGACAGCGTTGGGCTGCCCTGCCACACGCCTGACCAGTACGGGCTGCAGCCAGTGCTGTGCTTGCTATTGCACGAGAAACATCCACTCAGTTGTTTGAGACTCCAACTGTGGGTGTTCCTGATATACCCACTGCTCCCGGGGACTTAGGTTTGACACATCTGAAATGCTGCTTCACATAGACTGTCTTAAAGCAAGAAGACGCTTCCGTATAACAGAAAAGCATCTCATTGCCGGTCAGCACCTTGCATTCTCATCCAGCAGATAGGATCTTTTCTTAAGGGCTGTCTTCTGACCTTTAATCATAAGAACATCCATTTCTGGGCACAGAAGATAGAAACAAACAGAAATGTGAGGTCAGTGCTGCTGTGCGCTGAAAGTGTATTATCAAACTGTCGATGAGTAACTATTCAAGGATGGACTTAGTCTGTGAACAGTAGGCCGTTATTCTCAAATTAGCTTCTTTTCCTAAAATTAGGATTTTAGGAGTGATTTTGAAACTTAAACTTCATTTCAAGAAAGAAATTTGGGGGCTGGAGAGTTGGCTCTGTTAAGAGCTCTCATCACTCTTGCAAGGCACTTAGGTTCAGTTCCCAGTACCACATGTAGCTCACAATCCTCTCTAATCACTGCCATGGCATCTGGCACCTCCTTCAGGCTCCCGTGAGCACCAGGAATACGCATACATGCATACATACATACCTGCAAAAACACCCATACGTACAAAATAAAAATAAATATTATAAATTTGAAGCTCAGAGAAATTAATGTAGTTTGTGGTAGAATGGAGTGTCATAAATGATCAGATCACAGTTGTTTGTGATGCCTTATGTATGTGTCTGCCTGGTAATGCGTTTTCCTGTTTGAGGGAGGGTTGTGTGGCAGGGGTGGGGGGGAGACATTATTCCTAGTCAGTGAGAACTATTTCAGGATAGAAGTGCTCTCGTGCTCTTTCCCCGTGAGCCTCTGGTGCTCTCTGTTTTCTTGCTCACCCCTGACAGTCAACCGCCTATTATAGGCAAAATTGTCTTCCCCCAAATTCGTATTCATTGTTTTGTATACTTGTAATTAATTTTCTTTAGTAGTATTTCATTTCAAGATACTTGAAGACTTAGCAGAAATTGTGAAAAATAGGGCAGAGATTCTCCCTACAGAACCACAATGAATTGTCAACAAGAAATTGATATTGTAGCAGAACTGTTAATTTAGGTGTAGCCCTAACATTTTACAAATCCAATGTTTTTTTTTTCCTCTCTGTAAAATTTACATACAGGCTTTTGGTACCATTTTTGCAGTTAGAATCCGGACTTTTATATAAGCTCCCTGTACTCTGTAATAGTTGCACTCCTGTGCACCCTAATGTTCATCACACAGAAGAAAACGCATTATTCACATTTACATATAGCTTAGTAAAATATACTTCCAGAATAAGTAACCTCATATCTTCACTTTGTTCCTTAGCAAAAGAAATTGCAAGGGGGAGTCTCTTCCAAAATGTATTCTATTTAAAGAGGCATTAAATGATGGTTCTTGAGTACGTATGGATAGATTGAAGAAGGAACCCTCCTACCTGGATCTACTAGATGGGAAATACAGTCCAATGGTTTATCTGTGATTTTTACGGAGATCAAATTCAGGACCTTGACCTTGTACACACTAGGCAAGCGCTTTATCAAGTTTTTCAACACCCTTCAATTTGTGTTTGATTCCTGGCAATTTAGGTTTTAACATATCTGTAAGGTAATCCTGAGAGCCACTAAAATTGAAAAGCCATTGTTAAATTAGACTTGTTTTGGACAGTGGAGAGTAGAAGAAGCCTAGTGCTGTGCTCTTTGCTTCTTAAAGTTTTTTTTATTTAATATTCATTTTATTATATTTTCTTTTTCTGTTTTTATTTTCTTCTTATTTCAACTCAAACTTTTTCACCACAAACCTTTCCACCCTAGGTAGTACCATACATAAATGAGGTATATGTTTTTTATATCTTGGAGTATTTTTTAAATTTAAAAATAGTATATAAGCAAGTATATTGCTATTTAATTTCTCAGAAGTTGGTCTTAACTACTTTAATTATGTTAATTGTCTTTAATAGCATCCTTCACCTTAGACATTAATAAAGCAGGCATTGGTGATCATATGTAAGCATCTGTCTATATCTATATAAGTACACATCAATATATTTCTTATTTGCAGTTTTTTGTACCCAGCTGTAGTCATTCATCATCATGAGGTACAGAAGATGCAAGCTTTGTATTACAGTGAACACAGCAGGAAGCAAGAACCTTGAGTTCTTTAGTTGTGTTCCATGATTTATAATAGATTTTGATATGGGAAAAACTAAATTAGAAGCACATTGCAAGAAATCACAAAAAAAGGACCTTTTAGGCAAATGAGTAAAAATTATATGAAAAGGTAACATCTTGTGAAACCACTTGGTAACAGTGTCTGCTGTCCACATCAGTTGGAAATCAAATTGAAGGTCTCCAGAGTGGTAATGAGGAACCACTGATTTCAAATGTTGGGCTCAAATGACTGCTGAATTTGGATCTAATTTCATGTTATTGGCCTACCTGTCATTCTCAGTAGGTCAGAAAGGATGAGAGACAGTACAGCCCCATTGTTTGGTAACTTCTCAGTGACTTACAGCGAACTGCTAGAATACAGAAGCCTATCATTTTTTTAAATTAAAAATTTTAGTTGGGGAGTCAGAGTGGCACCAAAAATGTTTAAGATACACACGCATACATACACACACATAAACACACACATACACATATATAAATGCCTTACTAAAAGGAGCTTCAAATAGTACCTTCTACATGGTACCAAACAGTTGATCACCGAAGGCAGCAAGAGTCTGGACTGCAAATGTACCCTGCACTCTCAGCATCAACAGTGGGTGTGTCTCACAGCCACCTGGCAGCTATGATATTGTTTTTAATGAATATGCAGAATAATTTTAAAATAGCACAGTTAATGATGCATACCCCATATGACCGCAATGTCTGCACAACAGCATTATTATAGAGATCAGAAAGAAAAACTTGAAGGTAGTACAGTTAAAAATGTGTTGAAAGAGTTCTTTATTTTTTTTTCATTTTGAGGTAGGAACTGCTATGGGTTTGCCATTCTTGATCAATCAAAAGTCTTTAATTTTCCACAAGGAAACATTGACTACTCTATAGCATATTTTCTGGTATTAACTTGGGTTAATAGCATTGTATTTGTAATTGGTATATTAATGAATCTTAAAGTTAGTTGCTTAGTTTAAATGCATAATTTAACAGTCATTGATTTGAAACAAAAATAAAACC